TTTCTAAGACTATTATTGACCCTACCCATAAATTATTATTGTTTGTGTAATTAATACTANATGCCAACAACTGGCATCGTGTAAATCAGCCTTTAGTACTAATATGCAAATAAAGTATATAAAATAATTAGTGAATTTAACAAATATAATAAAATTTAATTTTGATGAACAGTTGTTAAAACATACATGGTAAATGAACAGCAATTATTTAAACTTAAAGTAAATATCTTATTAAGGTTTCAAACAAATTTAACTAAAATAATTTTACATAAATTAAGTGTTATATTTCTTTAATGACATATTTTTTTTTGGATAATGTTTAATTATTAAAAAGTGAATATACCTTGAATAATATCTATATTGTTGGTAATTTATTGAAATTTTAGATATTTCAAAATAATATTTTAATAAATGTACTTACGACTGGATTAAGTCTGAATGTTCAACAGCAAACAATCTTTATCGTACTGCATTTAAGAAATATTAAAAATTGTATTGGATTATATTAAAACAAATGGCATCACCGTATAAATTGAATGTACATTTCATGAAACATTGAATACTTGCTAATATAATTTAATATAATTTAATTATAATTAGTCCTTATACACAAGAAGAAAAAAAATTATTTTTATTAAAAACTTCAATTTACTAAGAAAATTGCAATGTGTATTAAAAGTAATTTGTTTTCATGGAAATTGTAACTTTGAATAATCAAAAATATTTAACTATATAAAAAAAATATTTTATATTGCTAAATATATGTTTTTTACCATAGAGACGATTCCTATTAACGTAACATTTCCCGTATAGCCAACTTAATAATACTAAATTATTACTATTATTTATTATTTTTTTATAAAATTTCGATAATTTAAAAATATTTTTATATTTAATAACAATTTTGAATACAATAAATCATTATCTATGGTAAAGTTAACTTTGCTCATAATTTACACATTTTAATCTTAATACTTAGTAAGTTTTAGTGTTAATAATATATTCTAGTAAGATTACACTGTCTATAAATTGTAAAGTCAGGAAAAAAAAATGACAAATATACTAATAACTTGATATATTCTAAGTTCGATAACTAATTTTAAATCATTTGTCACCCATGAAAATCATCCATTTCTAAAATGTTGTGTTTGCATATGAATGTTATTAAATAAAAAATTGTTAAATTTTTGGAAAACGTCTAAAGCATATTTTTTTAAGAACAAAAATAAAATAAATTTAAATTTCACTAAAATATATTCATGAAAGACATAGAAAATCATAAATATTATTTTAATTATCCTTGAATATTTCCAGTACATTAACAGCTTATAAATTTCGTTTTTTTAATTCACTTAGTATATTGCAAATAGAAATAAGAATAATAGGAATTAAAATCTGAAGCTCAAGAAAATATAAAAGCTATCTTAATTTTATTATTGTATTATTTTATAAAAAAAAAACGTTTTATGTAATAATAAAGTATTCAATAAACTAAAAACTAAGCTAAAAACCAAAAATAAATCTTGTATTATTTTATTTTCAATTGAAAATAAAAGTATAAATGGAAAGATTGATCCAAATATTTTCGTATTAAAGAATGGATTTTGAGTTATAAACTATTGCTACCATTAATTTATTTTAATCACGTCGTCATGTACGAGGATTGCTATATTGAGGCCTTAGTATAATGACAAAGACGCCGATGTCACAGAATAACTGCCATAAGCACTGTAATTATAACAATAGCTGTGTTTGAACAATTTTAGAAATTAACATATAACAACCTGTATATTGATATATTTCTATGTTCAAAGAAAATTCGAATTGTGATACTTTGAAAAATATTACAGTAGAATTTACCGTTACATTATTAAAAATTTCTATTAACAGCGTTTTAAAATATAATATAGAAACATATTTAATAAAATTCTATTTCGATTTTAATAATTTATAGGGTAAATCAATTTAACCCACTCAGGCGTAAAGCAAATTTTTACTATTGTACTATAAATCTATTTCATTAAATATATAGTGTGTTCAGGTATGCTTTTTATAAAAAGGGTATGAAGGACTGGCAACCGATAAAAACGACATGACGACAAGCTCACGCGTTAATCTTCATAGCAGTAGATTTGCATACACTCGCGTAAAAACTATAATTATAACTTTAATTATATTTTAAAAATTATTGATATTTGATAGTATTGTCTTTTTGATAAACTATGTAGGTTTAAATGTTAATTCACGTTTATATAATAATATAACTACTATTACAAGAATAATTAAAGATAAAAAATATTAAATATATATAAAAAGTAATTAATAAAGTAACGTATAAATAAATAAAATAATACCTTCGTAGAAAAATATTAAATTATTATTTACAATCATTTTTTTCGGCCATAAACGAACTAAAAACAATTTTATAGTTGAAATGTTCATCTTTTACTTATTTATCTTAAATATTATTTTTTAATAAATTTAAATCAAAATACATGATAATTCATCATTTTTTGCTATGTTGTTTTTAATAAGTGTGAACTGAAAAAGTAACAGCTCCGTTAACTATACAATTGTAGCGGCCTCAATTCATCCTTTATCAATAAGAAATTTAAAAAGTCCCATCCTTTATTATTATTTGTATTTCAAATCTATTTTAAAACTTTTACAATTTTTGATCAGCTCAAGGTACGTTGGTATCTTGCTTTTGTGTTTATTTCCACTTTATTCATTGTGTAATTTATTTAAGAAAATTATTAACAAATGATTATATATAAAATAATAATTTCAAAAATTGTTATTTAAAATATAAACATTTAAATAGGTGTATAAATTATGAAACTCATGTTAGTGCATTGCTGGCGGTATTCTCATGTTCGGTTTATATCTTTTAAAGGTGTGAACCAGACCTATTATTTTTCTTGTTTAAATATATTCAAGGATTACTGAGAAACGAATGAAATAAGTCTAAACCATTGTCTAATTAAAACGTTTAATGTGATTTATTGTAAATAATGAGCTCATTGGAAAATTGGATAATTCACGATTAAATGAATTAAATAAATTAACTCTTTAATAATAAAGAATTAATCTGCTATAATTGAACATTTTTTTTTTAACTTAATTTTATATTTAAAACTATGTATTTTTTTTTAGCTACGATGCGAAGCTAAAAACTTGTATTGGTTTTACTATTTTTTTTTTTGTGTCTGTTACCACTTTTTTTCAGTTCTTACCGAACCGATTTCTTTCAACGATACGTCAAAAGATCACAAATCGTATCTAGTCGAAGACATTACCTTCAAAAATTGAAAAATTTCCCTCGTTCCCCGTACATAGGGAAAATCTCCAAAAAAAACTACAAATTTCAAAATAGCCAATTTTTGACATTTTTTGTATTTTTTTTACTTAAAACTCCCATAACTTTTTCAAATAAATTACAAATTAAAATATTATTCTATATAATAGTCCTACTGAGTGTCACTTTTTAATTATATTGATCGATAATATACATGAGCTTAACAATAATCAGTCACACTATTTATGATTATTATTTTTACATTTATTGCATTTAAGAAACAGATACTAAAGTCGAACGGCTTAGGGATTTCTTGATAATGTATTTAACTTTATTTTGTATTAAAATCTTAAAATTGCCTTTTCATGAATATTACAACAAATTTTTATTTAATCAAATGTAAAATAAATAACTTCAATACGACATTAATAGAATAGCAAAAAATAATTCATAACAAGAGCTGATTCAGAACTATTTTATGGGCTAGTGCACCTCCGCGCTCACTTTCGGATCCGCCTATGATTCATTTTGGCCATAAAAAATAATTATACTCTGAAAACGATCCTAGGAGTTTTGTTAGGTGCGCATTTATAATTTTTCAATAAAAAAGGCTAAGGAAAATTTTTTCACAATTTTAGCATGACTGTTATTTTTAATGACTTAAAAATAACATTTTAGGACAAATGATAGTCACATTAATTTTGGAGGGATCATGCCCTTCGAGATCCCAATAAGACGCAATCTGAATTGATTGAAAGTAAATTTATTCACTTTTTAATTATAATTTTCGGGTTTTTAACGGATAAGGAATTTATCATACGTATAATTACTTTTAAAATTATAAATTCTTAAAAATCGCATATTTATGATAACTGACAAAGTTTGTATATTATTTCTTAATAATAAATCATATTATTAATTATTATAATCAGCAAATTTATGTTTTATCGTTTTTCAGTCCAATAAGGAATTATCAGTATTTTTTTTGATTATAATGTCATACGAGATTATGTTTAATAAATTGCACGTACTTAGTGGTTTATATGAAACTATATAAAACCCGTAAATTATTCAACATTATATCTCAAATTATATCTCACGAAAGTGTCAATTAAAACAAAGGTAAAATAGTTTTATAGATTGTAATCTAACATATTTATAATAATGGTTAACAACATCCCAAAGGTTTAATTAGAATCCCTATTAACAATAATAAAACCAGTATAAATGAAAATTTTAAATTTTTACGTATAATTCAATTTAAGATATTTTATTACAAAAATATAATTATTATTTTATTATAGAGTAATCTAAATTGATTTTGCAAGCAAGGAATTATCTAAAAACATGTATAATGTTATTTATATATCAGAATTTTTTTCTTTCAAATATTTAACTAAATGAAGATTCTAATAGTACTATTTTATTTATCTTAATAACCAAAATAAGTATATTTTAAATGTTTACCTATTATAATACAATCATTTTATGGTTTTATAAATAGTTCATGATAAATAAAAATTTTATGTTTGACCATTTTTAATAATAATAATTAATAAAAATAAATAAATAAAGGGAAATAAACAAAAATATAATAATCAAAATTTATTCAAACATTACAAATTAAAGTTAAACAAAAAATATTAACACTTTTATTCGATAATACATACTTCTTAAACGTACTTCTTAAATTTAATGGGTTAAACATTGGGTATTCAACAAAACACTAATCAATTTTAGGAAAATCAAACATTTAGTACATATTGCTTTAAAATAATCTGATCATATAATTTTAAAACATAAATAAAAGTCATTTAGTATTATAACAGCTTTTATAATTTACTAACATCAACAAGATACAAATAAAAACAAAAATATATTATTTTTTGTCAAATGTAAATAATAGTATAATAACAAATAATAAAACTTTAAACAAAATCAATAATTAATTTAATAGTTTAATCGCGTTGTAGTATTATTATATAACACAAATTCTATTTTATTTTTTATTCCATTAAACCATCCAATTTTTTACCCATGTGTTAAATATTTTATATTATCACTTTCCTTATATTCTTCAGTACTTGTAATAGTATCAGCTAATGAGGATACTTCATTCCATGCAAATTTCACGTCTCTTTCTTCGGTTAAACGGCTACACACAACAAAGCGTATTACAAGCTGTGATCGCACTGACGCAGTAACTAAATAAATTTTACCACTTTTCATCAGACTTTCATACAACCTTTTTGTCCAAATATTATCACCCTGCAAATAAAATCATGTTAATAAATCTTAAGGAATATAATTAAGTTTTATCATTTATTTAATATTTCATAAATTAGTTTCATTTACTTTAAGTCGGAAACAAACAAGTCCCATTGTGACGGGCGTGACAATTTCAAACCGTCTGTCTTGTTCAACCAGTCGGCCAAATAATTCAGCTAATTCTATTTGTTTTCTTATATGAGCTTGAAGACCCTCAACTCCATACAATCTCATTACAAACCAAACTTTCAACGCTCTGAATCTTCGACCCAGTGGTATTTGCCAATGCTAAAAACGTCGTTTAACAAATATTAAACAACAAAATCTTTCATACCTAAAACCATTATATTGTTTATAATTATAAGTACATGTGCATACTCTATAATCTGGAATTTGGGGATTTTGGCTTTGATAACTATGATTTAAATACATTCTTTCCACGTTAAACGCATTCACCAGATGATTAGTGTTTTTCACCCACAAAGCGGAACAATCGAAGTTAACTAAGAGCCATTTATGCAGATTCACATCAAAAGAATCGGCATATTGAATTCCAGCCATTAAATATCTGTATTCAGGTAGTATAAAAGCAGCACCTAAAGATTAAAAAAATTGAATAAATCTTCGCTCAAAACACTTAGATATAATATAATAGTTTAACAATTCTATTAATATTAATATGAACTTTAACTAACTAGACTAGGATACCTGCATAAGCTGCATCAATATGCAACCAGATATTATTCTCATTACATATTGGACCCAAATCTTCGATGCAATCAAATGAACACGTTCCTGTAGTTCCTAATGTTGCAACTACAAAACAAGGAATCAGACCTTTTTTTCGATCTTCCTCGATAGATTTTAGCAAAATAGGACCAGTTAATCGACCTTGATCATCTGTTCCGAGTAATCTCATGTGCATAGAGCCAAGAAGTCCAGATTTTTCTACACTCGAATTGGATTGATCTAAAATTTATGTAAGTAAATTAATAAATAAAACCAAACATGTATATTTCAAATACAATAAAGGTACCAATCGGGACAAAGAAAATTTTACCTGAAGTGTACGCTATAAGTTTCGATTTAATTTCTCCGTCATCTAGTTGAGGATTTATTGCTTTTAAATGTTTAGTCATGCGATCTTTTGCTACCAGTAAACATACAAGTGTTGCTTCCGATGCACTACCCTAAAAATATATCGCAAAAAAAAAATAACGAAAAAAATAAAAATAAATAAAAAATGTATTCAAACAATTAGCTGTAGTTTTTTTATTTATTATTTCAACAATAAAAATTAAGGTCAAAGGTATAATTTAAAAAAAAAATGAGAAATTTTCTGCTGTGACTACTCACTTTAGTTATTAATAAAATGACATTAACTTTGTTTATAGTATATGAAAATATTATTGTATTTTCCAATTTAACGTTTGATTAAAAAATATATATATTTTCTTTTTTTTTTTTTGAGAAAGAGAAATCATGAAAAACACATAGTTAATTTATTATGTAGTTATAATTGCAATAATTTGAAAGTAAGAAAGATAATAATTTATACCTGTATTATACCACCACCTGGTCCTTCTGACTCATTTAAAAACTCTTTTGGAATTTGCAACATTTTCCCAAACCAATTCATAACTTGGACCTCGAGTTCAGTGCACGCTGGACTTGTTATCTTTGAAATATTAGATCATAAAAATTAAATAATTCAAACAATAAATTTGAAATTCTAATTTTTGTAAATTAAATGATGTTTAGATATAAAATCTAAGTATTGAGTAGTATGGTTTAATATTTATTTAATTTAAAAAATATCAAATATTTACCCAAGAAAATCCGACGCAACCTATTCCTGTTGATAGTAGATCTCCCACAATAGCTGGATAAGAATTACCTGTAGGGAAGAATGCGTGGAACTGTGGTGATTGCCAATGCGTTATTCCTGGCATAATGATTTTTTCGATGTCAGCAAAGACAGTTTTCCAATCTTCGCCTTTTACTGGAGCTTCTGAAGGTACAAGGTCATAGAGATATCCCGGTTTTACTGTAGATACAGCTGGCCTGCAAGTTTAAATTATATTATTTTTAGTAAGTGGCATATCTAGGATATTTTTTTTATAAAAGAAATACTTATATAATACAGTGAGATTATTTTAATATTAGCCACTCGGTTTTTTTTTAAATAAAATTTATGTTAAGAAAATTATTTTTGTCATATTTTAGTTTCACATATTTCTTGATTTACCGAAATATCGAATGGATAAGCTTTAATTAATACGCCTCTGCTTATAGACACTCTTGTCTAAAATTTTTTTTTAATAAAAACAAAGCGATGTAAAAAAAATTCTATACGAAAATTCTTTTTTTTATATTAAAATAATTAATAGATTTGACGATTTTGTATTCTATTAACAACTAATCATTGCGAACAAATTTTGATATATATTGTATTTTTATATATATATTTAAATTTTAGTGTAATCATGAACCAACTTTCCTTTGGGTTTGTAACTTCAAATAACAAAGTTTTCATCAAATGGATAATCATGCAGCGTTTAATTTTTGACATCATGATTATGTAACACCATGAAAGTCAGTAACAACGAATTCGAGAAAAAATAATTCTATTTTACCATAAGATAATTAATATAAATGTTGACAATTCATGAATTCGCCAGAAGAATAACTAATAATTTACATATTTCACGCTTAAAGTGTAATGCACATTTATTTTTCGATTACAAACTTTGTGAAACCTTTCTAAATTTTATCATAACTTTAACTTACTTATCTCGGATGTTCTCTGTGTAATCAGCTATGTAGTCAACGATCGTTTTGGCAAAATCTCGGAATTGTTCAGAGTCCATAATTTTAACTAAATTTCCAATAAGTATCCTGAGCCTAAGTATTCAAAACAAAATTTAATTTAATTTATGTAGTTGAGATATGACTCGAAAAGTAATATAATGTGAAAAATATTTTAAATAAAATTATATAAATTAAACAAACTATTTTATAGGTTAAAAAAATACATTTTTCTGCAGACCATGACTTATATTAATTTTAAACTTGTCTTAACAAAAATATAAAGATGAATAACATTTTGGTTTGTATAATATTAAAGAAGTTAATTTTTTATTGTTAAATGAAATTAAAAAAACAAGTGAATATAATAAAACTTGAATTTTTTAAGTCCAGCACAATCTTATATCGGTGAAAAACGTGTTCCTCATTAGTATACTGCTAATAAAATATTAATAGTTTTTGTATACTAGCTTGGTGATGAAACGATTAACTCATGATATGATTAGACTATATTCGTCGAAAAAATTCATGAGTATCAATTCTATTTTATTCAATGGTGTATTTTTAAAATAACTTCGGTGGGGTTTTATAAGTTAGAAAGGGACGGATAGAAAAAAAAATTGTTTGTGTTACCTTTCTAATTGAAATTAATAACACGTCTCTGGTTTCATTAATTGATTTTACTTAATAGTTGAAAGTAAATTTTATGTCAATTTTTTTAAAAGTTTTATTAATTAGTTGACCAATGTATTAGTTTAATATAATAACCAATTTAAAACTAATTAATTTTGTCATTTGTACAAACATTCCAACGTTACATGATTTGTAACTGGTATAGTAAAGAATGCTGTTAAAAAAATACTAAAACATAAAGAGTATTATCAATTAAAAAAAAAGCTTAATATTTGGAAAAATTTAGGTAAATTTTATCAGAGGACAATTTCATTTCTGAAGGTCAGCATTACAAGAATACGAGGGAAACAATAGATTTTTGAAAACAAACAAGGTCCGTTAATAAAATTAACAACTACAACGATGAAGGTGACGCAGCGTGTAAATAGATATATTACACAACAGTACTTCCAAAAACTAAATTTAAAATGACTAAGTATAATCTTTTTAATAATCTACTATAAGATTAACCGTCTAAATTTGATACTCTGTTATTTAGTTTTTATTTTTAATTTAGTAATTAGTTAAATTTTAATGCTACGGTCTAACTTTTTTTTTTATTTGATGCCACTAATTTGTCTAGAGACAATAAGGAGTGAAAACTTTTAGATTGTTGATTTTTTTGTATAATGATTTTAATAAGTATAGTTTTCTTCTTTTTTATTTATTTAAATTATTTTATATTATAATTATAAAAAAAAATAACTTCGTATACTTTTGACTAATGGTTAAAAATACATTAGATATCTATATTTTCTACATAGCTCATTTAGTAATAAATTATTTCCATATGTGTATACAATATTAGAAGTTTAAACACTTCCTCAGTAAAAAAAAATTATACATCTATGACTAGATTTAATCGATAGTCCTTTATCAATGCGCTGTTTCTTGATACATCAAGAACGACTTATTTCATCGAAAAACAAGAATATTATTGAAAATTTTTTTGTTTTCTTTAGTTATTACATATTTTTCTCAATTTAACAACCTTGAAGTACTTTGTATATTCACCCCTTATTCCTTACAAGGGAGTCAATTTTATTTTTTCAAATAGAAACATACATAATTAACTAATAACTAACTTACATATTTATTAGATAATGACCTAATTATAAAAATGTCTGGTCTATAACAACTTTTAGATAAGTATTTCAGAAGTTTTTAATAATTTAAAAAAGCTAGGGTGCTGCTATTCATAACACTAGACATTTTTTGGCCTCAGTCTTCCTCCCACCTATAAATAAAAATGATAACTTCTGAAATATTGGTCCAAAAGTTGTTATCGATCAGTCATTTTCATAAATAAATATGTATAAATATTTATAAATTAATACATACATAAATAAATTATGTATGTTGTTATTTAAACAAATAAAATTGATATCCTTTTAAAATAGGATATGAAAGATGTACAAAAAATTCCATTATTTCAAAAATTACAACAGAAAACAAGATTACTAATTTCTTTTATAATATAATTGCTTCCTTATTTTATTTAATGAACTCCGTGACATAATTTTTCAAAATCTTTGAGTAAGGAAAATAATTTTATTCGTAGTATTCCTTAGAAACTATTCACAGACTAAGTCACGAGTATAATAAAATGTGTAACATAAAATGTTAATAAAAAAACACCAATTTATAAATTTTATATTTTAAATTAATTATTTTCATCTCGAAATGTAGTAAAAAGTAAACACTACAGTAGTGATTATTTTTTATATCATTTTCTTTAACTGTTATAATACTTTTTAAAAATTATAAAAAATTTTGTTGATTGGTGGATAAAATAAAATTTTAGCCAATCATAAAAAAATTTTACCCTTGAAAAGCAAGACATATGTAATAAACTATTTTTTCCATAATCATTTCAAAATTATACTTTAGGAATAATTTTACTTTTTCTTTAAACATACACGATTGTGTTCAGGAGATAGTTATCTCTTATAGTTTATACAATTGTTATAATTATAACTTTTATAATTATCTTTTCTCACAATGCCAACAAATGATCGTATTAAAAATCTATTCATAAGTTCAAATAATAAATGAGTATCAACACAGTTCATCTTTTAATTCTTAGAAGAAACACTTTTTTCTGTTTTTTGTCATATTATCTTCTTAATTCCAAGTGTATAAATTCTCACCAGTGAGTAAGTAAATTAATTTTAATAACTAAGATGATTAAGTATTTAAAACTATTTTGACTAGATTTCTAATTGTTCAATTAAATTGTATTCAAAATAAACATACATTTTTTCGCCCAAACATCTCGTGTTGATGTTATTTTATTGAGCATATAGAATTCGATCATCACTAAAGGGGGTACAATTAAATAATATTATTTGTTACACAAAAATTCATTAATAGTCATAAAGATAAATAGATTTAATTTAATCGAATTAATTTCTCTCAAACGTTTTATTCCACTTATCCTATTTATTATTATTATTATTTTTTTTTTATTCACTTTATAATGTCTACCTATATTAGATGTTCTTACATATTTCACTATATCATATCTTCAGTAACTATATTAACTTATACTTATTTTAATTTATTAATTTTATTTTTCAATCCTTATGGATGGAAAAGCATATAAAAATATATAATATAATTTTGATTCTTTTGAGTATTTTGAGGACTCAATAAATAATGAATTACTGACAGATAAAAATAATTTAATATCTCACAGCATAGGATTTGATGACGCATATTTTTGTTTTTGAAATTTTGTGAGTTATTCAAAACTAGTTTGGTTTATTTTTATTGAGCATCTCGTAAAACAAAGTGACTGTAAAAACGTCAAAGTCGACATCTGGTACTATGAACAGGACCGTATTAAAGATTTTGGCGTGTAATAAGTACATGAATTTTGGCGCCTTTAATTTTTTTATTTTTAAATAATTTTAAAGAGCAACAAAAAAAGTCAATATATTTTTTTATCGCATTTTTCACCACAAGTCATCGTTTTTCTTTCAAGCTTACATCGATTAATATGTTAATTTTAAAATTAATATAAATAACAAAATATATCATATAAATCTCATAAATACTCAATAATAAAATATTTTTTGTTATCGACAATATTTGTAGGTTTTGCTTTTTTATATTGATATTCACCCATAAGAATTTTTTGGGGAGCTATTGATCTTCTAAACCACTCCTTAAATAGAGCTCTGACTATGGAAAAACTGAACACAAAGTAGTATAATTCAATCTCCTGCTCAATTGTTATTATCGGTATATTATATGATAGAAACTTCACAAAAGTATAGATATAATTTTTTAACAACTGAATATTTGTTGAATAATTCAAGACGATTGTTATTTGTGTGACGATAAAATAATCTTGTTGTCTATTAAAGAGTAATACCGTTTGCTTCGTTAATTTAATATACATCATCTGTTCTTGATTATTATATTCTATCGTAATTGACCTAAGTTCTTTAATGTTTTCCCGGCAATGAAAAAAAAAAACTAATGATTCTAGTGATGTCAAAAATAGTTCGCGGATATGGAAATGTTAGCGCGATACTAGTAATCTCTATCAAACGTCACGCTATAATTTTTTTCCTCAAATAAGCTTTTCTTTATTTAATAAACATATTAATCAAATGGAATCGCAAAGATTAGCCACCTTTTTTAATATCTTCCCTCGACTGCTACTAAAAAAGAAATACTGATAAATAAAAAAAATTGTTTAAAGCATTTCGAATAATAATTATTCAATTAAAATAAGTTTACAAATTTTCAAAAACTATTGGAAAAAATAAAATATAATTAATGATATAACTTTAAATTTAAAGCTTATTCATAATTAATAAGCTTAATTTAAATTATTTGTGTATTTTTATCATTATGAAGAAGTCTTGAATAAGACTAATGGAATAAGGTGATTTGAGTCTTTAAAAAGATATAATGGGATTTTTCAAAATATATTTTAATGAAATTAAAAATTGATGTAAAATATTAATACTCTATTGTATTTACGTTTTTTGTAAATTTATGATTGTTTTCTAAACCTAGTAAATCAATTTGATTATATTTCAGGATAGCAAACTTAGAATTGCCAACTAAATCTTTTTTGGGTTTGAAAACTTTAAATTTCCTATTGAATTTTAATTTAATTAAGTCATACAATTTTAGAGTTTTCTAATTGTAACATTAACGATAATAGTATAAATATATTAAAACTCACCTTTCCAGAATGTCTAAACAATTTCTCATGTGTTTTATCTAAATATCTCAAATACGTCGATTCTGCTAACTCGTAAGTACGTTTAACAATGACTGTTCTTTTTATCGGTTCAAATGACTTTGTATAAAAATTAACGACAGCACATCGAATTATCTGAGATTTTCCTACTTATACCTTACTGTTTCACTTAAGCTAAGCTACTGTTTATTATGTGTCTTAATATGAAGTTTCTTTTAAAGTTATATTCAGTTCCGGAATATTGTTATGGTAATAATAGAATAGAATACATTTTATTATTATTTTTTTTTTTTCTAAAAAATACTAGATTTCTATTAATTATTTCTTTTATGTCTTTAACGTTAAATTGATTAAAATTTTTCAAACTTCAATCTTCATATTATAATATCCAGATCACTCTATACAATAAAGAACAATAATCAATATAATTGGTTTTTATTATTTTATATTATCAAAAAAACTTATTGTCACGAATTAGATGACACTCTTCACGTCACACATGGCTGAATTTTTTATACAAATATTATAACTAAAAATTTGCTTTTTAACATATATTAAAAAATTGAAATTAAAATGTCTAAAGTATAATTTAAAACTTAAATGTAATTTAATAATTGTCTATATTTTTTATTTTGTAAGAATAATTCTTGGAATTAAGTAAAACAATTGTATTAATTATAGTTAAATATTTTATCATGCCTTTAAATTTGTTGTAAGTTAATTAAAATAAAACATTTCATAAAAAAAAATTATTCAATGATTTATAAAACTAATTACACGAGTTAAAACAACAAAACTCACCTGAATAAAATGTACTTCTCTTTAAATATTTTAATTTTAGCTAAAAATTTTCAAGTTCAACAAATAAAATAAAATACTGAGATTATTCGTTCTCACAATGCACTCTCTACAAATCAATGTGTTACGAAGACTTATATACTGTACATTGTTTATGTAAACCAATAATAGGATAATAATTGATAAAATATCAATTTTTTTTTCATATACTAATTTTCAAAGTAGAAGTTCATTAGAGTACCGACACTTGCATTTTCAAATATAACAAAAGTAAACCTAGGTATGTATAAGTAGACAATGATTTTTTTTTGCAATTTTACCTTGGCCACCAATAAATCAACCTGCAGAGAATTATATAAGTCACCAGTCCATACTAATGGTGAATCTAACTATTCATCCGTGGCTCCAAGGGCAAGGTCAAGAAAATATTGTATTCGTTATTTTAGAAAAATACGAGGTTAATTATTATGATTAAGATTTAATATTATAATATGATTATAGTAAAACATAATAAGAAAGGGAAGGGTCAAAATCCGCTAAGCTGTTAACTGCACGTAAATTCTAAAAAATGTAACGCCATACTAATCACAAAAATAACCTTAATTATTTAACTATAACAACAAGGATATTTATATTACATTATCTGTTTAATCCAATAGAAACTTAGGTTTTTTTTCAGGTCCTTGGAAAATTTAGTGAGATTTTTAAAATTTACATTTATTATGAAGCAAATGTTTACCCTAAAAGCTGAACACAATTAAATTAATTATACAATATGAATTGATCACTTGTGGCTAATATTATTTAAAATGAAATTAATTATTTAGACTTAAAATAATTATTCAACAATAATTAGTTCAAGTACTATAGTAAAAGATAAATAATTTCAAAAACTTATTAATAATAAATCAATACCTTCAATTTTTTACATCAAAGCTAAATTTTATTTAAATTATCGGTAATTATTTAAAACGATTAGTTGTAATATTATTATTACAATGAATGTTACTGTAACTTTATAAAGTTAACAAATAACTCCACTTAAAATTAGTTCAGCTGTATAGCTAATATTGCCTTTCGAAAAAGTTTTTGTGATCAATGTGTAGTAAAAAGTGTTATTTATTATTCAGATAGTCCGCAGTAAAAAATGATAAATTTTTGGCCATTCAAATCGAATTTTCTAACTTATTTGTATTCAGTTGGGATGATATTGTGGTACAATGTTGAAACAAACTATATGTGGTCACGTTTCTTATCGGAAATTTCGTAGGGCACTTAAATTTCTGACCGTCCTCAAATATAAGTATATCAGAAACGTTTCAGAGTGGTGGACGAAAAGGACTGAACCTTTGACTACAACTACAGCCTTTTGAAAACGCCATCAACAACATACGGTAGGAAACATCGTTTACTGACAACAAAAAATGTTTAATAGTACACCATCCAACGGCCGGGTTTTCCAACATGAAATGATTAATGATTATGCAAATATCGGTAAAAAACGTCTATTGTAATCTACATGTTGGTTGATGGCGTTGTATGCCGTCATAATTTTGATTTTCTCAAATAGAGAAGTATTAAAACGTGCAAAAACGTTGATGCCTTACATTGAGGGCCTACAAACTCTTAATTGGTGCACTGCAGTATAGTAATTATTATTAACTTACCAACGAAAAAGATATTAAGTCCTGCTCCAATAAACTGTAAACAAAAGTTCGTTTCACGTCCGATTGTAGTTCCGTATATTCTCTGTTCCGGTTTAATTTTCTTTTAACGTTTCCCATAACGAGCTTTTTAATTTCTTTTAATGCTTGTCCTTTTGGATGAGAAACATAGTTTGACGTCCAATAACCGACATTTCCGTTGAAGGAGATTTTTATTAGCAATTTAATAACCACTTCACTGTGTCGAGAAATATTTTATTTCTGCTTTGTGCTACAGATAGTGTAAAAATTGAACTTAGTGTTTTTCGGCGATATCAGCTGCTTGTAATTAACTTCTCTCAAAACGTTATCAGTCTGATGTTTTAATAGTATTATACGTTATTATTTTATTGATTATAGTACCATTTGAAGCCTTATTTTCACTAAAAAAATTATTTATAGCCTTTTTTTTGGAACTTTCTTACTAATTGAATACATATATTATTTGGATTGATAAATGATCTACTTAATGATATTGTGCATTAATTGTCCACGATTAAACTTATGATGACTATAACACATGTTCTTTGCACATTCATTAACTTTTTAACAAATTGTTATTGTTTTGGTTAAACAACAATGAAACTTATTTTATCATCACGCAAATAAATTTTTATTTTACATTGAAAACCATCAAATGTTTAATTGTAAAACTAGGTATTTTAATTTATAAATGTATAGGTATTACAAAAACTTGAATACTCGTATGGTATGAATTAATTTTTACTGATCTAGTCAATTAAATCTATAAAAGTCAAAAGTAATAAGTGAAAACCTTGACAAAAGAAAAAATATTTTATTCTTTAAGCAATTAATTCGTCACGATTTTCAATGATTAAAAGGATTATTAATTATTAGCAACCGCACCAAAACCAAATGGTAGGGGTAATTGCTACCCCAGTCAAAAAACGGGAAAGCAAAATTATAATTTCGCAACCCCCAAAAAATTATGACTAAAAAATATTGTAATTAAAGATTTAGGTGGTTTTAAAACTTTTTTTAATTCTGTCCTTTAAATAAACGTCTTTTATCGATTTCAGATTTTAGTATTATATTTAATACTATTATGTTATCAATTTTGGTCTAGCAAATTTTATTGACCAAAGTAAACTTGCAATCTTTTTCCCAAAGATTAAATTTGTTTTTTATTCAGTACTTCAATTACATTCTTCTAAATTAAAATTTTTAATTTATTATAAGTTATTTTGCTTAAAATGTTTGATTTTGAATGTACCATAAATTGAACTAAATAGTTTCCAAAGTTATGTCATTGGCGTATCAGGAGGCATGTGACCCTTACTTGGATTATCATAGCATACTTAAAAAAAGTATTATGAACGAAAAAAATTGATTTATAAGTCTAAACATTTTTATGACCCTCCATCAAAAAATTCTAAACCGTCCTTGATATACTATAATGTAGTATATCATCAATAATTATTAAAGTAATACAAGAAGATTCTTTTAACGCTAGCTTTTCGATTTATCTGAAAATAATGATTATCAATTTGATGAAAACTTTGTTATTCAAAATTACTAATCCAGAGGTAAAAAAGTTGGCTCAAGAGTTTATTACAATTTAATAAATTTAAAAATCTGTTCGCAATGATTAGTTGTTAATAAAATACAAAATCGTCAAATCTATTAATTATTTTAATATAAAAAAAAAGGATTTTCGTGTAGAATTTTTTTACAATCGCTTTCTTTTTATAAAAAAAAAAATTTAATCAAAAGTGTCTATAAGAAGAGGCGTATTAATTAAAGCTTATCTACTTCTTTATGATCTAAAATAAATCATATAATTAAGACACAAAGTATACAGAATGATTCTTTTGATATTATCCATTAGATATTTCGGTAAATCAATAAATACGTGAAACTAAAAAATGACAAAATAAATTTTCTTAATAATTTTTATTTCAAGAGAAATCTAATGATTATCGTTTAATGAATCACCTTATATAAAAAATAATAATATGCGTTATCATGGGTAAAGTTTATAAATTTCTTTTTTTTTTATGATCACTTTAAATCGACCAAAAGAAATAGCTTTACTCGATGTTTTACCTTTAGTACAATCGAGGGGACTAATTTTTAGTTAATAAATATTTGCTCCCTCCCCTTTGTATAAAATAGTTTCAACACTTTTAAATTTTAGATATATTAATTAAAACAATAAAAGAACTTTATTCTATTAAAAGGTTTGTTTAAAAATAGAAAAATTTTACTTATAAAATTATTATTCTACTTCTAGGTATACAAAATACATAAAAAACGTTATTTTAACTCAGAAACGAATTTTTGAACCATTTTTGGTGGGGATTCTTAAAGAATAAAATGTATTTGGAACACGCATCAGTCCTACTCAACATATTAAATCATGTAAATATATCAGTGTCTGGGAGGGGTCCAGACACCTCACCCACGTAAATCCCGCATTATCGAATCGGCCTCTAGAATAATCCTCGGTATTATAATTTGAGTATTGAACATTTTATAATATATTTCTCAAATTATTAATCAATGTTTGAAGGGTTTTAAGAAGGAAATTAGAACATAAAAAATATAAATCTATGTAATACATATACCAGTGTTGTTACGTTTTAAATACACAGTTTATAACACCAAAATTCAAAATTGATCTTTAGAGATATTTTAAACGTTTAAAGTATGGGTTTTAACAACTCTGACATGTATTAAAGACTTAAAAAATCTTTTTAAAGTCAGTTATAAAATTACTTTACACTATAAATTATGTTCTTTGGACCTTATAAAATTCATAGATATATAGTAAATAATTTTCTATTTTTAATAATTTTTTCCATTTAGATTTAATTAGTTCTATTTATATTTTCAAATTATAAAATTTTGCAACCTTATATCATGTATATATTTATATATATATATATATTCTGAACATAGTCTTAGTAATGATTGAACATATTCAAATACATTTTCAAAATCATAAATTGCGCAATTATATTTATTTTATTCTTAACTAGCTCATTAGTATTTACAATTTTCTATTATTTTAATAAACAATAAATATAAAGCCATCTCTTATATTATCATGAGAAATTCAAAAATATAATAAAACTTTTAATATAATTTATGGTAAATTATCAAGTTATTCTTCAAGTTTCACATTATGATTTAACAAATATAAAAAATAACATTCATTTCGGTAATTAATATAACAAAAAAATCAAGATTTAAATATGAGGGGCTACAATTATGATTGGCATTCATCGTAAAATATAATTACAAAATTATAACTCTAATAAGAAAAAACATTTCTTTATCAAAAGAAAATAAATTAGTAAACTTAAGTAAATTTAGAACTTAACACTAATACATTTTGTAAGTAAATTTAGAAGTACTAGTTGAAAAATAAAATTTATTTGAAATATAAATTTTTATTTCTAATTAAGAAATTATACACTTTAAAAAACAGATATTTTTTAGTATGACTATAGACAATAATAAAGAAAAATATATTTCACACTACAATAAATTTAACTTAATCTAAATCTATTCTACATGGTTTTGCATTATCATCTTCTTTATCAGAATCAGTTTTTTTGGCTGTGTCATCATCAAAATCGTCCCATTCTTCAGTCAAATCAACTGGTTTAACAATTTTTTCTTTAACTTCTTGAGCAGCATCTTCCAATGTAATAGTTTCAACTTCTGCTGATTCTTCAACTTCACCACTTTCATCTTTAATTAATTCATCTGCTTCTTTCAAGACATCACTCTCATCATTACTTAACATAACTTCCTCAATTTTATCATTACTTTTATTTTCAGCTAAAATTTTAGTTCCTGGTGGTAAAGAAGCACTATCAACAACAGGAATAATTATTTCTTTAGATTTAGATGTTTTTGGTGATTCATAGAATTTATGAAAATTTCTTAAGTGTCCTTTAAGCATAAGACTCGAGCGGAATTTTCTTGAGCATTCACTACATGTGTAACTATTTATAGTATCTTTTTTGGGAGATTGTGGTTTAGAACAACATTTATTTAATGTCTTATGTCTATTTAAATGTACATCAGTTGTAGCTATAAATCCACATTGATCACATTTAGGGAATTTGTACTCTGCTGGTGGAGTTATGTTGTGTTTAGTATACATATGATGAATTTGTAAACTTTTCCGTACAGAAAAATGTCCGCAATGTTCACAAATTCTTGTATCTTCTTTTTCATTATGTTTTTCTACTAAATGTCTTCTGTATGTATAATAACTATCTAATTTTAATGGGTTAGATTCTGTTCCACATAAATTACAAGACCAAGGTCCTTTAATATTCATTATATCTGGTTTAACTTTGTGAGTAGTTAATGGTTCCTTAGCATTAGTTCCAGCTGGTAAAATTTTATTGACAGAATTAGGTGTATTGATAATAATGCTTTCAAACTGACTTTGGTTAGTACTAGACATTATTTTTAGTTTGATATTACCCTTACTCTGTAATAGATGAGGGAATTTTTTTAATATTTCTTGTACAACCTTACTATTAGAATTTTCTGGATCAGTTTCACTCACAATTTTTAATTTTTTTCCAGCGGGAGATAATGGTAAAAATTTTGTATCGCATTTGGCAACTTGAGGTTTTTCATTCTCTTTTTTTCCAATTATATCACCATTAGCTGTTCTTTTGAGCATTGCTTTGGCATTTTCAGTATTTTCTTGTTTAATTAAAGGAGCACTATCATATTTTGGTAGCTCAAATGTGTTTTCACAAAATTCAGGAACATCATCAATATCACAATCAAAACGCATGGGTTTATTTTCACTTAATACATCTTTAACTTTCATTGTATTTATAAAAGTAGATGCTGGTGTATGTTCAGGAGGTGATCGTACATTTATGTTACTTAGGACTATAGGTTTTTTAGCAGGTCGATATTGATTAAGAGCTATAGCTGAATGTGATCTTGAAGTCGAGGCAGGAGAGGAATGGTAATCAGACTGTTGTTTCTTTAACACACTAGATTGAGATTCTAGTAGCTTCAATAAAACAGTAACTTGTAACATATCAGCAACTTCAAGTAAAGCTAACCGCGAGTCTTCAGTATAAAGTAGCTGTCCTGTGTACATAAACATAACTACACTTTTGACAGCATTAAAATCTAGATGATCAGGCATAGTGATAGACATATCTTTGTTGGGATGAGAAACAAAATAATCTGAGCAAGTATTTAATACAACACGGTGAACTTTAAATGATTCATTATTTTTTGAACGGATTGTATAATCGCAGTATTCATCTTTTTTGGCCAAATTGTTCAGCCTTTGCATGAAAAAGTTTCCCCAATTGTCAATTTTTAACTGATTAGGAATGGCCATGATTAAAATATATCACCTAAAAAATTTACAGACATTACTATAAAAAATTTTTAAAATAAATTGTTAATAGAGAATGAAAAATAGAAAATAAAACTCAATAATTCAAAGCATAACTATATTTTAATCTACCTAACAATTATTAACACCTATGATATATTAATTATTATTATAATATATATTATATATTTTTATATGATCATAACAAAATAGGTTATCACTGTATTTCTAAATAAGGGTCATTTTATCTAAAAAAACTATATTTTATACTTTATAATGTTTACATTTTTTATACATAAGCTTCATTAAAGTGAAATGTTATAAAATAATTTTTCAGTTATTAAAAAATCAGTAATATCTTCATGTTATGATTTTTTCATTTATACTAGAATATATAAAATATGATTTTATTTTAAACATTGCTATTTCTTAATAAATAAACTTTAAAATTTTAATAATAAATTTATATTATGTCTTTTTATAACTGAACAAATTACATTCTAATACTAGTACTTAATTATTATGAAAATTGAATATAAATAGTGAATAATCATAGGAAGCTAGCTAATTGATTTAAGGTATATTTACTTGCTTATAATATAAATATTTAAAAATAAAACACATTCGATTCAAATATTAGGTGCATCACATAAACATTTTTTACACTTTATTTTATTCTCTAAAAGGATTAAATTTTATGATTTTAAAAGTAAATACTGAATTAATCAATTTATAAGAATACCTATAAATTTTTAATAATTATTTATAATACGTAATTTAACTCAACTAAAAAGATAAATATTAGAAGTACTAAATATGTTAATTTTGAGTTGGGAACTATGTATTGATTTTTTTTTATTTATTAACATAAAAATTATTGTGATTAATAATCCCAGTCTTTAATTTCAATGATGCCACTCATTCCATAAAATTATCAAGGCTCTTGTTGATTATGTGGATTTATATTAGTATTATCTGTAATAGAGTAAAAAATAATTTTCTATCTTGGAAAGAGAATACTAGACTACGTGCATAGGCCATACAGAAAATTGTGTTAAAAGATTGGATAATACCGGTTGGCTTCATTCAAATGCTATTGACCAATTAATTTAACTAAAATTTTACTTATAAGAATCACTAAGGTTTTCTTTGTTCCCATTTAAATTATGTACTCAAAATATATAACTCTAAACCTTATAGATCTTTTTTGAAATATTAGTATTTACCTTAAAGATACTTAGGATATGTTTGAAATAAATATATTTTTCTTTTGTTTACATATAATACAAATATGTAGATGATGATAATAACTAATAGATAATAGATGGTGTAGGTATCATAACAATATTCTAAATTGTTACACAAAAATACTTTATCTTTTAATAAAATTATAATTTACTTAAGTAAAATTGTATTTGTTCATTATAAATACTATTTAAGTATTTAATGACCAATAACTCTTATAATAATGCATTCTGAATTGCAAGCAATAGATAAATATATTTAAAATATCCTAATTCATTAGAAACATTAGTTAAAAATTCTGTTAAATTATAAAGAAATGAATATTTAGACTTCAAATAGACTTATTTTTCTTAATGAAATGTGTTAATTTTTTTTTTAAATTATACAGAAAACATAATTAAATTTATCAATAAATTATTTTAGTTTAAAACGACTTATTAAGAATTTATATCAAATGTCTATGGTCTAGGGAAATTTCTGTATTACAATAATACATAGAACAAAAATACTGGTTGAATTATAAGTTAACAATTTTTAATGTCAGATGTTCGTCAATCTGACTTATAGAAGAGCAATAAGACCCCTAAAATGTAAAGTCTGTTATACTAAAATAAAAGTTTACACACTCGCACCCTTTTCACACAAATATTGTCAGAATCTTGATCAGATATTTTTCATTAATAAATACGGATCCGGTGTCATCGTCCCCTCCAATAAAAACTTACTCTTCAGCACTTTTTGTCGAATAGAATGCGACGGACTATAAATTGACGGAAAATACTTACCACAAGATAGTGCTGATTACAGCAACTACAGCAATATGTAGTAGTTCAATGCTTCTGTTTAGTTTTTTGATATAGTAAAATTGTTTAATTTGCTTTTAACAATGATTTGTTGTTTACGTAAAAACAAATGATTATATGAAAGTAACAATGTTGTTTAAGACACTAATAACAGCGAACAATCAATGGTGGCCGTAATGTATCAGAGGTGGGTACTGCTTGCGACGCGCTACCTGCCGGTGATAATAGATGATAGACGCGGTCAATTACAGTGTTACCACACCGAAATTAACAAGATTTTGGTAATCTCTTTTAAATTGAACGTTTAGGGAATATGTTGAATATGAAGTATAATTAATAATACTTGATTAATGTAGGAATTAATAAAGTACTTAAAAATATTACGCATACAAGTACTTATCACCTACTAACTAGGGACTTTTAAATAGACTCAAATTTATCACAAATGACAAGAAATTCACGTATTCAACATAAACCACTTATTAAAGAAACGACGTAAGTTTCAACATTTTAAAAATTGAGTTTTTAAGTGCAATTTGTTTTTTATGGATAGACGCTTCATTTTTGAAAAATCTTTAAATGTTCTATATGTTTGAAAATTTTTAAAGATTTTAAAAAAATTTCAATTTCAAAGCAACACACCACACCAATGGAAGCTTAAAACGATTTTTTACTGTTTTCTACTAGTTAAATATTTTGGATTACGCCATTTTTTATTTAAGTGGTTTAAATAATGTCCCTTGTTATAAAAATTACGCTAAGACTAAAAATATAAACAATTATATTTGTGTAAATTAATTTTTATACAGGTATATTTTAACACAGGTCTGTGTTGTAATAATATTTACTAACAAGCCATTTATAAGATACAATTTAAAAATTTTAAAAATCTTTCTCGTCTCTTCAAAACCACAATTTAAAAAAGTAACAAAATATTTGCTATTTCATTATGATATATGTTAAATAAAGATAAACAAATTCTAGCTCTTTTTAAAACTTTTTAGAAAATACATGTCCGATTGTTTTATTTAAAATGTTATCTACATAGAATTGTTAAACTAAAATAATAAATATTTTACCTCTTAACCTTCAATTAGAAAAATCAGAAGCTTAATTATAAGATGATTTAAAATTGTTATTAAACAGGAGTGATTAAAGATAATATTTGGGAAATCTCATTATTGTTTGAATTTACATTATTAAATTTTCATATAAAACATAAAAAATTTATTTCATTTTGAATGTTTTTCAGTAATTCTATTAATGTTATTTAGCTCGAATCTAATTATTAAAATTATATAAAATAATTATTTTATTTAATTAAACATTGTATTAATTACCTTGAAAAATAATAAGACTTTTAAATAATAATTGTTAGTAAATTACGAGAAAAAAAATGCTAGAAGTATACTTGTGTAAATATTAAATTTTATAATTTTAAACTAAGCAGCATTTTCTGATTTTTTTTACTAGAATTTTAAGAGTAAGAAAATATTTTTTCATTAGAATATTTTCACTTTTAATTCATTCGGGTTTTCTCAATAATAATTCGACGAGTAAAAACTCTAATGTATTGAATATAGATAGCGCTATTAGCACAACAAATCCATTAAAAGTAATACATCAACACATAGCTTGAGGACGCTGTGCTACAAAATTAATTTTAACAGAATTGTTAACGTAAATTAATAACTTAAAGTTTAAAAAAATATTGATCGATTAAATCGATTCTTCAACAGAAAAGCAACATTTTATTCAAAATAAAACAAATTTCATTAATTTTTATACTAAATAAACAAAATATAGGTAAAATTTTCTTTTTATTTATATATTATATTATTTAAGTTAAAAAATAGGGCCGGGACGTTTGGCAATCCATGATTGTATTTGAGGTATATTCAACACCGTTTGCTTGAGTTTACTTAAATTTGTACAACCATCAACCATATCAACATTTGTAACAACTTTTATGTGATCCAGAATAGATACGAAATATAAGTCAGCCCAGGAAAGCTGTAAAAATTAAAATAGCATGCATACATACATACAATCAATTTTTTTAATATTATTTTTTAAAATAATTTGAATAATATGATTTTACATTAATTGATTTAATTAATTACTTTTTACTTTATTTTTTTTAAATAAAAGAAAAATTTAGTTTAATATTATACCTTTCCGTTGACAAAATATCCACCATTTTCTGATACTATTTTTTCAAATCTTTCAATATAAAATGGAATAGTTTCTTTTACGAGAAGCTCTTTCTTTTTTATTTTAACTTCACCATCTGGTTCATGAAAATTTTTCATAATATCTATAAACATAAATTCAAAATTACATTAAATAAATTAAAATGAAGAAGCCAGTTAGTAATTAATAAATTTAAACCAATAAAATATAAAATTACTTAAAATATTTTTAAACAAATTATTAGAAGGTTAAAACCCTATATTCTCAATGAAAAATATCAAATTTTTTAATTTAGAAATTATTTTTTTTTTATATAGCTTTGACCATTGAAATAGCATTATAATTTATTATTACAATTTTATAATTTTTTCAATAAATAAACTAACTGTGACTCATTTAAAAAAATAATGACAGTTAAATTTATTTTTTTTTATAAAACAATTATTTTTATTATAAATATTTATAGTTTTCATTAAGACATGAGATTTATTTTGACACTTTCAAATATTAAATATTATACAATAATATATACATATTATATTATTTATAATATTCAAATATTACTAGAATTGAATACTACCTTGTCGAATTTCAAAAATGTTATCAACTGCTATATCTATTAACAATGATTCCCATTCGTCTTCACCAGCCAAACTGGCTTTTTTAGCTAAATAACGACAAATCGCTACAGATTGATTTAACAATTTACCGTCAACTTCCAATACTGGAACTTGTCCAAAGGGCATTGCTGTGAAAATTATTTCATATAATAAAAGAATGTACATATTTTTAAAGATTTTTTGATAGTTTTTAGCTAAAAAATAATTCTTACATGGTTTTATTGTGGGCCATTGTTCACGTTCAAATCTATTTTCCTCAAAATCTTCATTTAGATAAGACAATAAAAAACGGATAGGTTCTGCTCTAGCAGTAAAGTTGAAGTACGTTAACTTATATTTGGGCATTTTGAAAAAGTATTAATAATAATAATAAGTATTATCACGTTTAACGATTATTATGAAGACTTTAGGTTCATTGACTGAATAAATATTTTCTTGGCTTTACATGTAATGTTCAGCGCTCATATTTCCCCACTATACAGGTGGGTCACATATATATACACACAGTTGAGCCAATAAAACGTTTTTAAATATTTAATTGAACAACAAATATTTATTTATTTAACTTGATGTTATATAAAAAAAACATTAAAAAAATGTTCGTGTATTCTTAAGTTCTAAAATTCATTTTGCTTCTGTAAGCATGAATATCCTAGAAAATCAGTTACAATAACGTATAATTTCTCAAAAGAGGATATTTAAAGGCCCCTATTCGTTCGATTTAACGAATAGTGATTTTTTTTTTTTGGAGTATATTGACATTAAAGGTCCACAAGAAAACTCCGAGGACAGTGGACAATTTAAAATGAACATATACACAATAAACAATTCATCTGTGTATTTAGTTAATATAATAACATGTTCTGTATACTTGCTATGAACAGTGATGTTTAAAAGCACATACTAGGAAGGAAATAATCTAATCAATATGTATTAGATAATTGTACAATGAAAATCGATAATGTTTAAAAATAGATATTAGTTTTTATGTTACATAATCATAAATTCTTTTAAACTATGAAATAATGTACACCATTTATTTACACGTCGAATTTACTAGACTGCAAATAGTTAATATGAGCCATATATTAATAAAAAAAATTAGGCAATGGTAATAATTGTTTAGACTATGTCATATACTAATTAATTTTCATATTAAAACCGATAACAATTATAAAATAATTCAATTTAATAAGTTATTATTTTTGTGACAATACTTTATTAAATTTATGTATAACATTTATAATGGATAATCATTCTTCAGGCAACATACGTCAATACCAGAGACACAGGCGCAATCTGTATGTCTAGAGGGAGCTTAACCTCCCCTCATTCTATTGCAGCCCCCAAAAGAATTATGATAATTACATGTAAATTCATACATAAATATTTTTAAGGAGGAGAGAAATTAAATTAAATCCCGCAAATATTTTGTTCAAATTGCACTTATTATCACTAATTAGTGATAAAATAATGTATTTATAAAGTATTTATTTTTATTTTTTATATTCTGTAGTTGCTTAACTTAAATCGATATCAAATTGAATATTAACATAATATTAGTATAATTGAAATCTGGTTTAACTAAAAACTATACGATAGTTGGCATCACGAAGCACGAGTAGAATAGGCAAATTCAAAAATGTCTTACTTAATATAAAAATTATAATAACACTTTATGATTTTAAAGTAATAAAAAATCATAATAAAAATAATAACAATTAAACCAATTATTATTTAAACAACATAACCAAAATTCTTTACAAAAAAGTAATATTATAATATAGATTTAGATTTATGTAGATTAAATTATTTAAAATATTTAATAGAATCGAACGTTTTTTGGTCGTTTTTCTGTCCATAATTTAATTTGAGGTATGTTTAAGACTGTTTTTTGGAGCTTTGACAAATTTGGCCGACCTTCAACGATATCTATGTCTACTAGAGCTTTTGTATAGTCCCAAATAGCCGCAAAAAATATGTCTGCCCACGAAAGCTGAAATAATTATTAAAAAATGATAATTTTATTTAATTTCACAAATACAATAGATATTTCATCAATTTAATTAGAGTGTTCTTGTTTGATAAATTCAGGATATGTTTTTTTATTGATTTAACTCAATTTTCAAACCGAATACCTGGAATTCATTTTTATACGAAAATCGAACTGTTCGTAACATCAGCACATCACACTAATAGTATATCTTAATATCAGAGTCGGATTTTGGTAGTTTTGTGTAGGACATTAAATTTCGTAATTTTGTCCCGACCGATAAATTTACTGAAAAACTATTTTTATTTATTACATTTTTAACAAAAATGTATCACTACAAAATTTAAAGTTCCGGGCCTGAGTAATTTGTCACATATTAGTAAAACTAAAACAAAATAATTACCTTATCATTTACAAAGTAGCCGCCATTTTCTGAGACAATTTTTTCAAACTTATCCAAATAAAATGGGGTGGTTACTTCGAAGAGACGCTTACCTAATTCAGCTTTAGTGACTTCATTGGTGTTATAAAAATAGATAATAATCTCTAAAATAATGTATATTGTATTACTTACAAAAGCTATTCTGACTTGACTGCTATTAAACAACTTAATATAAGGCACAATTAGGTGGTTAGAGAGCATACCCCTTAAATTTTTATCTATTTGCACCTTATAAAATTTTATAATATACACCCAGAGAAAAACCTCGATCTATATAATAAATTCATTGTTCAATTTGATAAATATATCATTACTATTGAATCAATGATATATTTATCAATATGATATTTTTTTTTCTTGTCTTGAACAATAATTATTTATAAGAATAGTTATTTTGTTCGTATTAATAAAACATTATCATAAACCCTTGATAAAATTTCTCTTTCAATTTTGATTGAGGTTTTTCTTTGGGTGTACTATACATAATACTTAATGCAACTTACCTTGCCAAAAATCTAGAATATTGTCTACTGCTATGTCAATCAAAACTGATTCCCAATCGTTATCACCAGCTAACCCAGCTTTTTTTCCTAAATAACGACAAATAGCCAATGTTTGATGTAATACCTTTCCATCTACTTCAAGCATTGGTAATTTACCAAAAGGTGTGTCTAAATCAAATTACATCTCTTGACTAAGAGTAAACATTTGGTGATTTAAAAATGAGTATTAATAATTTGTAAGTATCAAAGTTACTTGGTTTTACAGAGGCCCATTGTTCTTTTTCGATACGGCAATCTTCAAAATTGATATTTAAGTAAGATAATAAAAAACGAATAGGCTCTGCACGGCCATGTATATTGAAGTACGTTAACTTGTAAGTTGACATTAAAATAAAATATTAATACGTTTTAAAAGAAATAATGCTACTTAAATTAATTAAAGTTATATTTTTGTAACGTTCACTGCAGCCTGAAAATAACTGAAGTACAAACGTTTATATCACAGCATATTTATAAAACTACTATAGGTAAAAACAAATAACTGTTATTAATACATCCGTTCAGAAGTCCTTGCTAGCCAATTGGTAGTTTAGTTGCGTAAATTTACTGACTAAATGACGTAATACACTTGAAAAATAATAACAAAAAAAAAATTGCCTAAGCCTCTCCCTTCTCAAAGAATAACTATATTCTCAATCATTTTAAGTGTTACATTAAAAAGATTAAGTTAGATTTCTTTTACTAGCTTCATTTGATACTCAACAAATATATTTTTGTATTATACTCATTAATACATTTACATAAAATTATATTTATATAATGAGTAATACAGTAAAACAATTTGATGAGCTATATTCAGGTGCAATGTAAAATGTTCAAAAATCTGATACCGTTTTTCAAAAATGCATATTTTTTCAACAATTTTATTTTTTAATTTAATATAAAAACTAACGTAACTCTTTAAGAACTTTTTGTATTGACGAATGAAACATATAAAATTTATTTGTTGATTAATGGTGTTTACTGATAGAAGATTTATTAATTCTGCCCTTTTTTAAATTGGAAAAATAGTCTTCCAAAAATCATTGACGAGATTCTCTAAGAATCATGTTTTGGAGTAGAAGATGAAAATCACATATATAGTTCTAGAAAGAACAGCTTAACGTTCGACCTAATTAATAAAATGTTTTGATTAAATCACTCTAATCTAATACTTTATGGAAACTTTAAATTTTACATTAATTAGGTAATAAAAAAACAACGATTAATGAAAAATCGATAAAGTTTATAATAACAAAATATTAAACATAGAAACATAAAAATTTATAACAAAATATAAATTATTATATTTTGATACCAAAAACATTGTTTTCATTGTTATATTTACATATAACAACAAAAATGATATACATAACAATGCCACTGAAAACAAATAAATAGAATAAACAAAATAAATAATAATTTTTAAAAAATGAAATTAGTTCTTAACGATCGCTTTTCGAATTGTCTGAGATAATACCAATAAAAAATAAGGCCTCTCGTTTTTCGCCAACGGTTTTTGGCAACAAGGTCCATCCGGGACGCGGAATACGAGTACTATCTTAAGTTCATCATCCGGACTATTGTTATCACAACAGCTGGAGATATCTTAACTGCATTGATAACTTCGGTGTTGTGCAAACATTGCTCATACGACATAATTTTGAAACTAAACGATCGTTGTCTTTGGCGAACTGAAATAGATTCTTTGTACCTATAAAAAATACTGAGTAGATACCCTTCAAATGTCTACGAAGACGAGTCAGCATCGTTTCATATAATCACCTTCGTGAAACGCGTGTCGTCTTCTGAACGAAGGCAGTGCGTTTTTTAGGTTTAGTGGACAACACGACGGACATGCTGACAAATATCTCTCGCTGGCAGTTCGAAACTTGTTCGTTCTGCATTTTCCACTTCGAAAAATTGGCGATCTTTTGACACGAATATGATAGTGATTTTAATTACTGTCAGATATCATCTATACTTGTACCAACTATGCCATGTCCATACTGTGCCGCAACGCAACTGTGCTATCGTTTTTTTTTAACTTTATATATTTTTATAAATTATAGATCCCTTGAAATTTAGAAAATTATATCATATCTATATAGTTAATTTAATATCGATAAGAAATGCATAATTACTTACTTTTTATTCTTCTTAAATTATTAGTGCAGCCATTTAAAGCTAATAATGTTAAGCATAATTTTTAAAAATATATCATTTATTTGATATTATATAATCTGTAGAGTAGTACTAAATTAATTTATTTTCTTAAATGAGCAATATAAGTTGAAATTATAATGAACTGTAGTATGTAGTAATGAAAATATTTAAGACACTTCTTTAATTAATCGCTCTTGTGGTGTTTGGCGACCGCTGTAAAATTAACTTGACAAAATTTTATTTTATTTCACTTAATTAAATAATAAAATGCATTAATTTGTGTACCTAATTTAATTTATTTTTGATACAATATATAATTAATAGTGGAGCGTCTTCGCTAATTAATAAACATATAAATCAATTATGTTAAATGAATAACAATAGATTAGACGATACTTATTGACTCCTCTTGTAGATGATTGCCCTTTCGCTAACGTTCGTTCCACTTAATATTGATCCTCTTAATATTTTCGTGGTTATTAATTAACATTACCAACTTATCTACCTAATTGGTTGATACAGACCAGATAAACGCACAATTGCATTCTATTACAACACACTGAAAAGTATATTTTATATACCATTTCTTTTGCTTAGAATTAAGTTCCCGCGCCATTCAATACAAAAAACCTTATATTTCGAACTATACTGTCCACTCACTAAATCGTAGACACATTCGTTAGAAACTGAACGGTTATTGGACATCTGTCTGCTGATAAGCAAAGACGCGAACACACTCAACAAAAAAATACTAAAAGACCCCAGTATAGTTAGGACAAGTATAGATTGATATCTGACAATAATTAGAATAACTATCACAAAAACCCTTTGACGTGAAAACGTTCGCCTTAAAATGTCTCTACATTTAAAAAAAACGGGTTTTTAAAACATTTTTAGAAACTGAAGAAACATTAATACAATATTGGTTACAAAGCTGCAGAATTGAAATCCGAGTTTTTAATTCGGAAAAAAAAAATAATGTTGACACAATTTTTTACTTTTATCTACTATAATCGTAATTGGGATTTCAATAAAAAAATCTATAAAAATGTAATTTTGATTACAATATGTTTATCAATATGTCAATATGATACAGCTTTTCTGTACATTTTTAATAGTTTTAAATAAATAAATAGAAATCAGTCGTTTTCATAATTCCTTATTATTTAAAATATTTCCGCTAAAAAATTCAAAATCTCCATAAAATACTGTTTAAATAAAATTTCTAATATTAAATAAATTTAATCGATTTGGCATTCATCATATATGCTTTGATAAACATATTTTCACATATATGTATTGGAAGTTTTTAATGCGTACAATGTAAAGGGAAGTTTGGATAAGTAGCAATAAAATTTGTGCACGAACTTTTGATATTTTATGTCAAAATAACACTACTTTTGCGTAAAATAACATGTGAATTAAAAATATCATATTGACGCATAGAAATTTTTGATATATTTCTTTAAGTGTAGACAAGCATAAAAAATGAAAGAAAAAGATTGTACGCTGAATATTGATTTAGCATCACAAAAAACATAATTCTGATAGTTCAATGATCAATAATTTATATAGACTTTCTTAGAAAGATCAATTATTTGAATTCATATGACACATCATACTTAATCTTCATTATTTTATTTTAAATATTTCTGACTATTTTAAGAAGAATACATTACAGCTATGATTGCTTCAATCAATTTGATTGTTTATTAATTAAAAAATTTGTAAACTTAATCACGATGTGATAATTCAGTCTACACAATACATTAAATAAAAGCTTTTTATAGAACCATTAAAAAAAAATGTAATCTTTTATTTTTTAAGAAACTAATAAAAATATCATAAATTCCTTGATTCGATTTTTTCTCAAGGTCATATTAAAAAAAAACGTTTTTCCTAATATCATTTAGGTATAAATATTTATTTAAATATTATCAGGAGCTACGAAATGAAAAAACAGACCAGTAATAGTGTAATTATTACCATGTAATAGTTATTTTTAAATATATGTGTCCTTAACTTTCAGTGACTTAAATGATATCATTGAGCCAACTTTAAGGTCAATACTCATGTAGTCGCTTACAATTTAACAAGGTCTCTTTTCATTATTTTTATTGTTGGTTATAGTGTTTAATACCTTGAAATCTTTTCATCGAATTTTAATTCTTTTAAATTTTATAGTTACTTTGGTAGTATGGTCAAATAATAGTATTTCATTTATTGTTTAATATTATGTATGTTAATATTTTTATGTAAGTATTAATACCCATAAATTACAAATGTTATTTGAGAGTAATGAGAAAGCCATTCAAGCCTTTTTTCAATTGAATTAAACAAATAATGATAAACTGTAAATATTAAGGAGCATTGTTCCTGTGCATACCTTGTATAGGTTAAATGTCATAATAGACAATGTTAACGTACTAAAAATATGGTCAAATAATTTGGTTATATTATACTCGAATGCTTAAATATATAATATAAAAGTCAAAATATATATTTTATATAACCATTTTAGAGTAGACTAGTTGTAGGCAATTCATAAATTTTTATTTTACAGTTTATTTTTATAAAGTATGTTTTTAACAATATATAATTTTAAAATATATTAATCGAAAGTTATAAGTAGCTAAAAAAAGCTTTATATTAAATCTTAACTTTGACACTAAAATGTAAACAATTAATTTATATGATAAAAGTACTTTATATTATAATTTATACTTATAACTAAATATTCATAACAAATTTTCTTGACAGTAAAATGAAATTTAATTTTTGGTAATTAGTCCTAAATTTTTGAGTCGCATAAAACAAAATGGTAATTAGATTATGCAAAACATTAAACAATCTCAATAGATAAAATAAGAATATTTGATCATTTTATTTTAGTCTTAAATTTGATCAAATTAGTAACTATCAAACCTCATAATTCCATAATTTGAAGGTAACTAAGATGATTTAAATACAAGAACTTACACATTAACCAATCGTTTTGCATAGATTATTTATGTACATTGTTTTAAATCAACATAAGTTACTTAACTGTTACAATTATACTTAAATAGGAATAAAATCAGCCATGGATATTGTTATTAGCTTCTTTATGGTGAATAAGGAGGTGGTATGTTGTATTCCACAAGTGGTGCATTAGGTGCAGGTAAATTGGATTGTGTTCTATTATACAGTTGATGAGACAATAATGAAACACCGCCAATTTGAGAAATGTGTGGCTGTAGATTGTCGGATTGCTGAAAGTACCTAGGAGGTCGAGAACATTGCGTTTGCTGATTTTGTTGTAAAGAACGTTGAATACAACATGACTGTTCGACAGTACAATTCATTGTCGATACTATCGGTTGGTTATTGTATGGATGAATTGTACTTATATTTCTGTTATGCATAGTCGCCAAAAGTTCTAATTCATCGTCATAGAAACACACCACAATATAAATTTCTAATGAAAAGATCACTATAAAAACATAAACAAAACATCAGTTAAACAAATTTTTATTTATGTTTTATTAAAATTATAAAAATACATTAAATTAAATTGAAACAATGAGAAATCAATTTCAGCCACCTCTATTAAAAGCATATGATTTAGATACAAAATTTTATACAACACAAAATTAATAATCAGATGGCATTGAATAAAAATTAACATTAAGTGTCTTCGAAAAAACAATTATAAGAAGTAGACGGTTTTTATAAATAATTAGATAATATTCTAACAATTAAGCACCCATGATTGAGAATATATCAATGTACTCTTAATTATATGAATCAATAAAGTTAATTTATCTCTACATCAAATTATAAATAACACTTAGTTTGGTTTACTTGAATATTTTAGCAATATTATATTCTTAGAAAAAAATGATTTTTAAAGTAGAAACGTATATATAAATTTGTAAGTACAAGGTGATTCATAAATTATAAACCAGTCTACTACTCGTAAAATAATAATATTTAAAAAAAAAAATTTGTATTTTTTAGTTACATATAATTTTTAATTTATTTACAATTAAATATTTTTGTGCATCCCTTATGCGTATAGGGTCAATCTTTTTTTTAACGCAAACATACAAATTTAACTAGCTTTCAAAATATAAAATAATTTAACTAAAAAAATGATTGGTAAATAACAACTTTTTGACTAGTAATTCTGAAGTTATTATCAATTTAAAGTATTGACTAGAGGTGAGGAGTGGTGCTGCTATTTTTTTTATCACAAAACATTTCTCGACCTCAATCCTTCTCCTGTCAGAATATAAAAACGTTATTATTTTGCGAGTAATCGTCGAGTGGTTCATTATTCGCATAACATTCTGTATATGAATATCGTTTTATAGTATATAAACACTTATATGAGATAAACAACGAATAAATAAAACATATGAATCATAACACTTTTTTACTTAAATCAAAAATTTCAAAAATTATGTTTATTATTTGCAAATTATGTAGCTAATAGTTATCGACGATTAAATAATACATTTCTAACTCAATAAATAATTGATTTTTACGTACAGCTCACTATTGTTGCCACTATAAAAACGATTGGATTTGGTATGACAAATGTCGGCACAAGTAAAAATATTACGAAAAATACTAAAGTAATGGAATGAATCATCAACCATTGATGAACTTTACAAACTTCATGCTAAAAATAAAGACAAATATTACTTAGAAATTCCTTTTTTTATAATTATTTGTCAAAATTTTATTTAAAAAGAATCAATTAATATTCTTAAACTATCACTAACTTACATTTTAATATGGATACGAATCAAAAATATATTCATACAATATATTTTTATATTTTATATTTATTTTCTAATAAAAATTTTATTTTACCTAATAATGTACTGGTAAGAAAAGACAATACATTTTGTATGTAACTCTTTTGTGGTCATATAGCTCGAGGTTTAATTCTACTTAAGCACTCTTAAACAATTGGTTAAACCCCGTCAAACCAAAAAATTAGTTATCTCAACTGAAAATTATTGTTAATATATCAACAAGTCAGTTACAAAGTTGGAGAACTATTCATACAATTGGTTCAACTATAAAAAAATAGGGAACTAAACTTATTTAATAATTTTGATTAGTTATTATCGATTAATGGTTAATCGCTATATTAACCACAGCAAAAAAAAAATTTTGGTTAGTAACTGTACTGTGATGCTATTTTATAAACTCAGCTACGTCGTACCTTCAAAAATAAACTATTTAAGGATCTTAAACTATTGACATAAATTTATTGGTTCCATACGCTAAAACTTCTTAATCATTAAGAATATAAATTTGAATGATATATTACGTTGTCAAATAAATTCTCACCTTAATAGTTGCCGAACTTAGATGATAATTTACATAAAGCATAAGAGTGATGATAAACAATATTGCTAAGGCAGTTATTATTTTTTCGTATTGCAATTTATCGCTAGCAATGTAATAGTCTACACGAGTATCACCTAAAAAATAAATATATGTTTCAATTTGTTTACTGATTTTAGTTCATATAATAAAAAAATTACTATTATAAATTTTCTTTTTCGAGATTTGTCGTAGTTAAATCCCAAAAGAACAATAAGTTTACGTTTAGGTATTAATGAAATATGTAAATTAACATACACGAGTCATTAGTGCAGGCCTGCAACCTTAGGTGTCCTAGAGGCAATTTTCCTTAAGGACACAAAAAAATACTTTTTAGGGGTATCGTAAGTAGATAATAAAAGGTCCCCCCCAATTTGATGCGACCGTGTCTTAGCTTTTTACCCAACACTGAAAGTTGTCTATTTGCTAACCACACTAAATGTATTTTTATACACTTATAAATCCTTCAATATATATTTGTATCATAAACTCTATCCATTTTTGCTAAAGACAAACTTATTAACTTACTATTTAATAAGCAAATTTGCAAGTAAAGAACTCAAATAATTGTTTAAACATAGATTCAAAACTTGATTAATATAGATATACAATTGCCTAAAGTTCCCATATTTGGAAAAAGTTCATATAAAAATAGATAAAAAAACAATTTCAATTTAAAAATAAAAAAATGAATAAAATAATTTTGAACAATGATCAAGTCAACTTTTTGAAAGGCAAAAGTAAACTTTTCTCACAGAAAAACTTATTTAGATACTTATGATTTTTGGTCTTTGGCGTAATTAAAATATTATTTTTGGGGGACTAAATATAAATATCTTTAACATAAAATATGATTTTAAATAATACTTAATTTTCTTAGTATTTTAAGGATCTAAGCCTCCTTTAGCCCCTGGCTAATTATGCTCATATCTACGATTTATAAAAATCCCCTCGAGGACGAATTCATGATATCTAATGGGTAATTTCTTTTTATTACCCTTTTCAAAAAAGAAAATATGTATTTTCACCATATAGTTATGGAAATAGTTATGGGTACGGTAATATTTTAGTATTAAATGATTATTAAATAAAAATAAAAATAACGTTACCAAAAGTTGTGTTACTTTGAAAGCTGCACTCAAGATCCGTTTTGGTTATATGTATTGTTCTAATGATATTAATAATTAATAATAAATTTATCCACTGAAAAAAAGAAACACACAGATATTTTGAAATTTAGAAAAAAATCTAACAATTTTTAACTAGTTGTCGTAATTTTATGATTCAATTAAATATAATAATACAATAATTATTACAATTGTAGCAACTCTTTTTGTTCACTTTTGTGGATGCTTATTCATTTATGTTTTTATCACATTATAAATCATAGCATTAACTTGATGATATTCAAAATTAATTGTTTATCATTAAACATTTAAAAATCAAAAAATATTGAGAATTTTTTGGGGGCATTTTTTTAGTTATATATTTTTCTAAAATTATCAATAATAATTAACAAATACTTCATTTTAGTAAAGTATTTTTCATGCCCATCCCATATATATTATAAGGGTGTTGACTTTATATTTTCATTATACATTTATAGTTAACTAGCTTATAAAAAAAGAGTAGTGTAATTATGTAAATAACTGGTCAATAACAACTTTTGGGTCAATATTTCGAAAGTTATTTCTAGTGAAAAAAATAACAACACCTGCATCTTACCATTATTATAAACTATAAAAAGTTGTACCCTAATTAAATAAGAAAATTTATTTCTTTATAAGATCGAATTTTACAAGATAATTTTAAAATGATATAGTTCACACATGATAAGTATTAAAAATAATTTATAAAAATTAATTTATTAATTTTCAATGCATAATTTATACCTTGATGAGATTGAAAATGATCTAGTGTAGTAACTTACAAAATTCAATTTGCCGATAACATTAGTAGTGTTTCGCACTGTGGAAATGCTCAGGAAACGCCTGGAATTTATCATGTTTGAACATGTATCAAGTTATATTAAAAATATTATTACAAATGTTTTGCATATGTAGAGTATGTATTTAAGTAAAATGACTATAGAAAGTAGGATTAGTTTATGGACAGTTTGTCACTCACAATATAAAGATAACAGACTGCGAAAACAAGTTAAACGGCAGTAGGTATAGTACAGTTCGATGTATACTTAATCATAGGTTTTAATAGTAACACAATAAGACATAATAACTTTGGTGGGGAAAGATAAATTTAAGTGTTTTAGAATCGTAACCATAGATGCATTAATGTTCAAGATATCATTTTGTTATGAAAAATAGCAACTTTTATTTTATATAATTGTGTTTCATTGATTAAAACGCAGTTAAATACAAGACTTTTTATGCACCGTAATATTTTTTTTTTTCGGAAAGGGAGTTGTTTTGTATACGAATTTTGAGCAATATAAAAAAAAAGATTTTGAACTAGTATTCAAATTGCCTACTAAAAAAGTAGCGACTATTTTAGTCTAAACTTTTTCCATAGTCTATCATGTGAAATTAAAACTATAAATTAATTTGTTATAATATTAATTATTCATTTATAAGCTGACTAAATTATGTCAAAACTTCACCAAAAATTTTGAATGAAAACTAAAATTATTTAATACGTAATGATTATTAAAATAAATAAATTAAAGGGTGTTTCAAAAAGAACGCGCGGATTTGAAAGTGCTATAAAATCAATTTATTTTCATAAAAAAAACAATAAAATCATACTATTCGATTCAGAAGATTTTGAGGTTTAAGCACGAAAAACAATATCGGGCATATGCCCTCCCCTACTAGCCCTGCACGCAATAACTCTGTCCATGAAATTCACCATAATCCGATCACACATATCTGCATCGATTTTGCCAAGAACATGTTGAATTTCACGCTTGAGTTCCGTCAAATTTTTAGGTTTGTTTTCGTAGACTTGTGAATTAGTTTAACCCTACAAAAAAAAGTCACACGGATTAGAGTCACATGATCGAGGTGGATAGACTTGGTCTCTCCGCAACGAGATTAGTCGGTCTGGAAATCTCGCACGAAGGAGTGCAATTGTTTTTGCTGAAGTGTGGCATGTTGCACCATCCTGTTGGAATCAAAGGTTATCGATGTTCATTTGATCCAATAGAGGCCATAGGAAATCAGTGAGCATTGCTCGGTACCGAACTCAACTGAATCACGCGCAAGAGCCACATTTGCCTCACTCCGACCACATCAAAGACGTCCTGGGCTTTTGATGTCTTCAACTGAACCACTTGCTTCGAATTTTGTAACTAAACAGTTGATTCATTTAGAGCATTATGATGGCCTAAAATCGTACGTAATCGGCGAATGGTGGCTGCGAAATGTTCACCAATTCTATAATAAGTTTGAATGAACAAAATTCGTTGTTTTGTAGTGTACTTTTCCATGGTAACACAATAAACACAATTACTAAGAACAACCAATTCCTTGACAACACAAAATCTCAATAATAATAGATATCAAAAATCGCAAAAACAATGATGCCAACAATAAACAAATAAAATGGCGACATTTTCATATTCGGCTTTTTTTTTGAAACACCCTTTATAAACTTGAAATATAATAATATAAAAAGATAACTAATAGTTTTTCAAATATTTTTACTATTAAATTTAACTAAAATTATTTTAGCTTCGATGCGAAGCTGAGAAGGTATTATTTTACTATAATGTATTTTTTTTTTTGTGTCTGCGAACGCTCAATCTCAGCTCTCGCTGGACCGATTTTGATGAACAATATGTCAAAAGATCACAAATCGTATCTAGTCGAAGGCATTACCCCCAAAATTTGAAAAAAATTCCCTCATTTCCCAAAAACGGGGGACATCCCCCAAAAAATTACAAATATAAAAATTGCTAATTTTTAACATTTTTTAAATTTTTTTTACTTAAATCCGTATCAATATATATATTTTTTTTATAGATACCTTAGGTATTTATCTATCATTTTATATATTTTTGTGAACATTTGAACCTTTACCGGCCCAAAGGAAAGGTTTCAAAATGGTAACTTTTTCACAAAAAATTAACTTTTTCAACTTAACTTTTGAAAATGTTCCGGAAAGCCTGACACTTTTATATATACCTTAAATTAAAGCTTATGTAATTTACTTTATTTTGAAAAAAAAAAATTTTATGTCTGGTTTTGTCTTCATAGTGAAAACGGACATCAAAGTTAAAGAAAAACGTACGATTTCTGTGAAAAAATTCTGGATTTTATATTTTATATTATTAAATTTATATTGCTATAAATTTTAGAAAAATGTATGAATCAATATTATTATTTTTTATAATAAATTTTCATATACCCCTTTCATCTGACACATTTTTTTTTAAATCGGATCATACTCCTTTATACAAGGGGGTTAAAACTTTAAAACTTTGAAACTAGGACATTTTCAATTTAATTTTGTAAGTGTTCCAGAAATATCTTCATGATGAAAATGACTACCATATTCTAAATTATGCTATTTTTGTGTTAATATTCTGGGTTTTGTATTTTATTTTATTTTAAAATATATGACAAGTGGAGTACACTGATTTGGATAAATATTATATAAATAAAATTGATATATCATAGAAAGTTAAACTTATTTAAATTTGTTTGCTTTTTTAAAGTCGAGAAAAATAACTTTGAAATTTGAACTAGCTTAAATAGCCATTTTTTTCAACCGTCGTTAGCGACGTACGGTTGCTCATTCAGTAAAACTTATGTTTTACGAGCTTGGGGTACAAGGTTCCAACCCGCAAATGGCAGGGGAATTATTTGCATATTTTTCTTAATTCTTTTAAAGTTAGAATAAATTTTCAACTCCTTTGATTTTTATCTCATTTATATTCAATAACTTCAACAACTATCAAGGATCCCATCACTGTAGTCGCCACTCGCGAGAAGAAATTTCTGATTCATATTAAAATTATTTTACTATATTTTAAGTTTTAACCTTGATGCAAAGCTGAGAATATATTTTTTTGTGACTATCATTTATTTTCTCTGCTCTAACTTGACCTACATTTTATAACAATACGTCAAATGACTACAATTCGTATCTAGTTGAAGATAGTACCCTCAAAAATTGAAAAAAAAATCTAATTTATCAATGAAACAGTTACATATCCCATGTTCTCCATTCAGACAATTAAAATCGTTAATTTCTAATGTTTTCAAAATATTTATTGACGAATCAAGTTTGATATGATAATTTGTTATGATAGGTTTCAAATACAAAATTAAATAATTTTACTTTGTAATTTAATAATTTTTTTACTCTATTTGTGTGTGCTACTACTAGACTATAATATTCCAAATTTGTTGGTAACATGTTGCTATATAAATCATTTCTAAGAAAAATGATTGTTAATTTCTCTTGAATTAACAATGGATTTTTACAATTATAATCAAATTTTATTATACGCTCAATTAAGTAAATCTTTTTAACAACTTTGTTTTGTCTGGTTCATTTAGTTAAAGTAAATCATTAAAATTAATTAAGTTCTGAATATTTCAATTGCAGAATCTTTTTAAACACCAAAAGTTACTAGGAAATGATTACTATTACTTCTATTTAAATTATCTGTTACGATAAAAATGCAATAAAATATTGAACTACTTTGATAAATTTACTATAAATAGTAATTATACAACTTCCTAACTACATATTAATATTAACAATACAATTTTTTTAATTCTCCTAAAATTTTCTATTTAATGATGTCAATTTCAAACTTGCCAATTAAGCTAAAATTTATGGTAACATATTTNACTTGTAATTGAGCTAAAAGTTATGGTAATATATTCAATTTGTTTTACTATAAACTTTCATAAAACTTTATCAAAAATTTTTCATCAACTTTAAAGAACCAAAAAAATAGGTTAAAAATGAAAATTTGGACTGATTATTTTTAGCATATTAAAAATCAAAATCAGTAATAATTTGAAAACAAATTTTTTTTATTTTAATTATTATTTTATACGTAATTAGTAATAATATAAAAAATTAGAAGTGATAGAAAAAGTCTAATTGCAGATTTGAAAACAACGCGAAAAGTTGATTTAGAAAAGTATATTTTGCTTCTGATTAAAGTTCCTTGTAGTCCAGTGCATTTATTTATAGTAACAGTTTTTATTGAAAAATATTGCATTAAACCCTTTAAATTTTTATACACGTAAAAGTAAAGCAAAATGTAACTTTTCTATTATTTTTATAATTTCTCTGTATAAATTACAATATTAAATTATTGAATATCAATTTCATATTAAATGTAATAATTATAATTAGTATTTATTCATATATTATATTTTAAAATCAAAAAACTATTAATCAGGATATAATTAAAGAAATAAGAGTTGATGATGCTTTTGTAATTATCCACCAATTTCTTAGAATTAAACAATATCTACAGATTTGCATCGAAGCGTTTCTTATATTAGTGATTTTAATCACTATCAGATATTATCTATACTCGTCCTATCTATGCCTCGTCCACACTGTACCTCGACTCAACTGTGATACCGTTTTTTTTATATACTTTTTTTACGTTTATCAACATTTTTATTTGTGATTTTTTCAATCATTTAATTTTATAGTTTTGTTTACGTGAGATTTATTATAATTTATGATGTAACTTGATGATGGCTTTTAGATGAAAATTATAGTTAACATTTTCTATTAATTTACTTTATAAAGTATATTGATAAAATAATTATTATATTACAATAAAAGTATAATCATTTTATTTTATAAAATTTAATAATAAATAGATTGATCTCATCATTTAGAATTTTTTTTATGTAGTTAGGCAAGCATCTTTTTAGTGGTTGTATATTTTAAGTAATTTTGTTTTGAATTTCAAAACGTAACTGAGACGTTATTGGTTTAACTCTGCTGTATATTTTAGCCGATCATTAAAATTGATTAACTTTTACTGTACTGATTTTTTTCAACGATAATTCAAATGTCATAATAGTATCTAGTTGAAGCAATCAGCGCTATAATTTTGAAAACGTCCCGTAATAAATTAAAAAGGTTCCAAAGCACTGTTTACCTAAACCTTCATCAAAATAAATCTGATACATTGTAAAATAAAAAAAAATAACTTAACGAACATTTGATTTCTAGAATTATTGGGCATTAAGTTTTTGGTAATAATTATCGAAATGAAATGTTTAATAGCAATAGAATATCTATATCATTTAAAAACAAATTATATTAAAGGGTTTTAGATATACTATATAATTAAAAAAGACGTTCCAATGAACTGTCTTTTATGAATAATCGATCTCTAAAGTCATGTAATTTATAGTGGATTTTTTTTTTATTTGTTTCAAATACTCATCAGAGCCTTTTATGACTATAATTTGAATCAATCAGATACCAATTAATAATAAACTAAGATACTATTAAATTGTATTTAAAGTTTTTTTTTGTTTTTAACACTAGTAATATTTAATAATATAGAAAACCAAGTACGAAATTGTGCTTAAAAAGAAGTTAATGTGAAAATTATTAAGAAGTCTAAAAATTCTGTAGTTTTGTAAGATTCATAAAAAAAATGTAAAGAAATTTCATATAATTCATTGCTAAAAGAATTCAGTTGTTCGTAATTTTTAATCGTAGTTTGTCTTTTGTAAAAACACTATAAATCTTCGTTTTTATATTGAGTACTTGAACAAAAAAAAGACACTACTTTGGTAAAAAAATTTACATTTTTTAATTATAAAAAAATTTAAATCACACAATTGTTATTCATAAAATAATAATAGTTCATAAAACCATTATATTGAATGAAACATTTCAAATTTAAGGACAGTTACAATTTGTTTGCAACTAATTGTGTAAGCTTAGAAGTTGATGTTCTTAATATACTTCTATTAACTCTAAATTTTATTGTATACGTCAGTTTTTTGAATTTTTTCAAAAACAAATTTACTCTCCAGTAAAAGAATACCTAGTACAAATGGTAGTCGACATAATGTAATTCATTATAAATTGATATCAAACTGTGATTAAAATACTTAAATGTAAATGTGCATTAGGAAATTCGACTATTTTCATTTTCTTTAATAACAGATGAATTAAGACACTGCATCTATAAAGGCCATAGGCGTATTAATGTTGATTTTTTTGTTGTAAGAATAAATCAAACCATTCAAGCCTTTTACATCATATTGTATAATCAATGAATTCAATATATCATGTTCTTAGGTGAATTTTTTTAAGTCTTTATACATTTTTTAACACAAAAGAGAAAAAATAATATACACATAATTTATTTACTTCGATCTTAAGTGAAATACAAAATGGATTACAAAAAATGAGAAATGATTTATATAGTCAAATATTTTTACAGTATGATAAAACTCATATATTATGGTAAATGAAAATACATCCAGTGTTTACAATTCTCGATAATGGTAAAATGTCTTTACACAAAATGGTGGATATTAAGTATAAGTAAAATAAAAATATTGTATATTATACTTCTAATAAAGTCATGGTACATCTTGGTAAAAATTCTTGTTAGGGTTTCATGTATGATGGATATTAAAATTAAAATATAGCCTTCATCTACACATAATAGAAGTTTGTATTCAAATAAATTTAATTTAATTATTGTTACTTAATAAGAAAGTATAAATTATTTATGAGAGATTGAAAGAGATATAACTATTTAGTCTTCAGTTTCTTCAGATTCTCCATTTTCTTCAGAAGATTCTTCTTTTTCTGTTTTTTTAGATGGTCTGCCTCGACCTTTTCCAGTGGATTTAACCTAAAATTAAAAAAAATAATTATTTAACATTATTAAATTACATGAAATATTCATTTTAATATTTTATAAATAGTTTTATCAAAGTTATTGATTAGCAGTCTTAAAAGTTATTTTTATGAATTTTCTAAAAGTTTTCTAATTACATTACAATTACAATTTAATTTTTACCTTAGGCTTAGCTTTTCCTGGACTCTTCTTAGGTCGGCCTCGTCCCCTTTTTGCTGTTGGTTCACCATCAACATCAGTCTTTTTGTCAGCTTTTACAACAGGATTTTTACCCGCTGGTCGGCCACGCTTTTTGGTGTCTTTGATCTCTTTGTCATTTGTCTAATAGTTCATAGTAAATTTTTAAAGCTAGTTAAAATAAAAAATACTTTCCTAGGATAAAAAAAAAAAAAAAAAACAAATGTATACTTCAGTAGGTTTTGAAGGCCTGCCTCTGCTTCTTTTTTCAGCAATAACTGCTCCGTCATCAGACATTTTTGAAAAATGAATGTGTTTCAAATAAGATTACTGAAATAAATAAATAATAAAATTTAGTATGCGAAGCTTATAAAATAAAAATTACAGGAATTGGGAGTATTATTTACAAATAGTTCTGTATAATACAAGATATTTTATGTAGATAACCTCATCCCCTTAAAATAAAAAATTGAGAAACCCATACTTGGATTTAGATATTTAAAATAATTTACTACATTTAAATTTAGGATAATATTATTTGAAATTTTATTTTTTATTCTAACCTATAAAAATTGTTTATTTTTAGAAGGGGCTACATCTAATCATTCCTCTTGTTAAAAAAGATATTTTTAAATTAAATTTTGTTAAATTTTTTNTTTTAGAAGGGGCTACATCTAATCATTCCTCTTGTTAAAAAAGATATTTTTAAATTAAATTTTGTTAAATTTTTTGGAGGTTTTACATCGAAGTATTTTATTACTCATTCATTCCAAGAATTAAACTAAGTATGATGAGTAAAAAGAAATGACAATAAGGCTAAATGTACGATGACTTACTAATCCGCCAATAAAATATAACTCAATTTTTACTTTAGTAACATCACTCAATCTAAATTCCGAAATCTGACAATCTGAACAAATTTAAAAGCGCGCGTAACTTTAGAATATCCGATAGTATTGGCCATTTTTAGCATAAAAAAAATGTTTTTTGTTTTAAATTTGTATTTTAAATAATGCTATTTCATTTTATGTTTTTTTAATTTCACATTGCTTTGATATAAAAACTAAATAAAATATCTTGTTATATATTTTTAAATTATTAATTTATTTATAAAATCAAATCAGTGTGAAATTAAAAAAATATAGAAATTTATGTTAAGTTTAATTTACGTACAATCGAAACAGAGTACTATAAAACGAAAAAATAGAAAATAATTTTTATAACACGAAACATTAAACGCATTAATAAAATAACATTATGATGATAAAATGCTATATTTTTCAATTTTAAGTCATATTTATAACTCTTTACTTTCTAAAAATAAAATTCAGCGAACTATTATATTTAAAACATTTAAAAACGAAACTACTACTAGGTAAAAGCACAATTTGAGCAGGTCTCATAAAAAATTTAAAACTAGCATAATTATTTAATTTAAAAAAAAAATTAGTTAATTTTATTATTTGTAAAAATATACAATAGAGCAGATACAGATGTTCAGTTAGTAAGGAAACAGGTAAATTGTTACAAATAATGAGTACAATAGAAATCCTTAGTGAACACTATTTATCAGAAAATATTGCTTAGGGTTATGAACAAGTCATACATAACAAAAGTAAATACTTAGACTTATTAAAAAATAAAGAACTCTGAAAGAACACATCATATTTTTTAAATGCATAATCGATCTAATTGTATCTCTTGCATCGACTGTTACACACCTTCGAAATTTTATACATAAATNGCATAATCGATCTAATTGTATCTCTTGCATCGACTGTTACACACCTTCGAAATTTTATACATAAATGTATAAAAACGGGACGTATTAAAAAATTTAATTGCAAACTACATTAGGCGTATTAACGCCAATAAAGAAATCATTATACATAACTTCAAATTAATGCTAAAATAATAAATTAGTAACATTTTTTTTAAAGATTTTCTATACCCAATCTCAGATTAAAGGCTACCAAAGCCTCTAATTTTTATTAAAGCCAAGAACTAAATAAAAAGTTATAAAGACGAATGATTTGAGAGTATCATTTAAATAATTCTTGACCAAATGCTTTACAATGTTTCACTCAAGGCTTGTTTATGTCAATCCAAAAATTTAACAGAATTTGTAAAATTTGGCAGTCACGATTTTAGTGTTATCTGTCTCTCAATTAAGTTATACAAAAAATTGAAACTATAATTAAATAATAAAAGTTGATCACTTGTGGCTAATTATTAAGTAAAATTAAAACTATATTAAATATATTATTAAATTAAAAACTAAAAAATATTAAACTAAGAAGCCACAAAAGTCAGTATATGTTTAGCGTTGATAATGCTAACATTGTTTCCGAACTATGCATCCGCAACTTTTCAGTAATTATTTGTGGCTTTTGAGTTTAATATTTTTTAGTTTTTTAATTAATAATATTTTTAATATAGATTTAATTTTACTGTAATTAAATTTAAATAATTTTTGATATAAAAAATATCTTTAATTGAAAGGGCTTCTAAAGATAAATTTGTAATTAGATAGTCATATATTGTTTATGGCTATGAAAATTATAATAATATATTTTTTTTAATAACACAAAGAAAACGTTACATGATGTTTATTTGTGACCAAGTATGATGTGGTTTGCTAAAAATTTTAATTAAATTCATTTAATATTTTCAGAAAGTTTGTAAATCGTAGGAAATAAATATAATTTATAAACTTTAATACTAAAAAAAAAAAAAATGCATAAACAGTACATCGAACAATAAACATACTATGCCCTGAGGGTGCTATATGACGCGGTGGGACCTTAACGTATTTTAGACCCTCTTATAAAGGCAACTACCTTTATGACCATACTCGAGTAGGTTCGACAAAAACTAACAACCGCCATGATGATAAATTATTTTCTTTATGTTTAATATCCTGTCAAAAACAAAATATTAGTTATGGAAAAAATTCAAGGTCACAATCTTAAAATAAAACAAAACTTGGAAAATTGTTAAAAAAAACATCTAGTATTAATTTTACTTAATACTAAACAAAATTATCATTAACTAAAGAAAAAATAATTTTTTAAGATTATTAGTTTGGTAATATAAAATTTTTTTTTTTCAATTTCTAAAAATTAGAGGTAAAAAAATCTTTCAAAAAAAAAAAATCTATTAATTTGTATTATTGTAATTTTATGTATTGAGTAACTATTATAAGTAAAGGCGGTAATGGAGGTACGTTTACATAAGTCTATAATACAAATTTTAACATTCCACCCACAAAAAATCAATACGTACACGGGAACCACCATCATCGTATACAAAATGCATATAATAGATTCCCTCCAGAAGTTTAGGGGTGCACGGCTATCAATGGTCTTTTGATGGCGGCGGCGACGGCGTCGCGTCCCAACATAGGTGACAATAACCGATCGCTAAATGACTGATAAATTAAACTCAAAAAAAATATATTTTCAGTCATAAAATACTATATAGATATTAATAAGGTAGCTATTTAATTAGAGAAAATTTACAATATTAAAGCAAGTCTTTAGATGAAATATTAAACAACCAAACCAAACATGCAGCCATTTTGTCAATATAATTAAGTATTAAAAAAAAGAACCATTCAGTAAAACATCTAGTATAATCTAGAGTACGAAATAAAAATGATCAAAATTTTTTTAATCCCGCCATAAAACGATTGATAGTAACATAATTTCAAGCGCCATAATTACTTAAAATTGCGCGCGCGCGGGACCTTACAGAAACGATTACTTGCCGGTACCATCGGTCAAACGACGAAACGCCAGCAATAGAATACTTTTTAAAGAATATTGGTGTTAGTTTGTTGATATTTTAACTAAAAATATTTTACAAATTTCTAATATAAATAAACCTCCTATCAGTTATATAAAATATAAATAAAATTAACAAACAAAAATTGATGAAAAAAAATAGTATATACCTTAGATAGGCAGCGGGGGCGGCAGTGGTAGATATCCGGAGAGAGACGACGATGATCAACGGACACACGAACAGGCCAGACGAGTAAACACAATCCGGCAAAAGGCGGTTAACAGAGTACCAGCGAACCAAAGACTGCCGCTATGCAGTGCTGCTATCCACAATGTCCCGCTTATAGGCAACACTGATTTTATAAATCAAATCTTATGAACTGTGTTTTGTTGTATGGCTTGAAGTAAACAAAAAAAAAGCTTAAATTTTCCAACTGTTTTTTTGTTTAACGGTCGTTCAAATTCCCTCTTTACAAATGTGCACATGGGTAATTCACGACCCTTTTACACATTATTATTAGCTATTGTTCGAACAGCAACTAATTTTTAACTGACATTATATAACAGTTGACCATGTATTTTAGAATAATTTTTCATTTGTGATGTATTATGAATAGGGTTCGGAAGGGTATACCTTTACAAATATTGTTTGAATTTAGGAATCGTAATAATTTCGGTTTTTGGTCATTTTTCTTGTATTTAGTAAATTAGTTCATCTCTATCGAATTTGTTTTAATTACATGATAATATAGAACTTAAAAAATTATAAGTTTGTCTATCTCAGAAAAATATTTACCGCTGACCCATATATTTATCTTTTTTTATACAAAGTGATCGGATTATCATAAATCACTATTACACTCAAATAATTAATAAATGAAAAAAAGTTATTATCAACCCGTTCCATAGTTTGATCAATTTCTAATATTTAAACTGGTAAAATATACACGTTGTCATTTATAAAATAAAGTTGATAACCATATAAGGGATAAAGGACGCGTTTAAAAAATATTTAACCACAAACAAATCGAGAATTAAATAAGTTAGTATTTAAACCACCAGAGGAATGAAAGGCTATAATTTATCTATTTTTTTCCTTAAAAGTCATCTAAATTATTATAATTGTATTTTCATTTGTTAACAAAAGTAGGTAAAATTATAAAAAATAGTATATTAATATTAAAATATCGAAGCTAAAAAAATACTTTCCTTTTGCTGATCAAAATGTTATAAGTTATAACTTACTCAAGGTGAAGTTAACCGAATTAAAGATAGTTAATTTTTTATACTTAAGAAATTTAAATAGCTTTATAGTACTTTCCAGTATCTAGTAATTAAATAATAGAAACATTCCACCTTAAAGAGTTAAAAAAATATAATTTTTAGTATAAAAAAATTATTTAAATGTTTTTGGTTGAACTCTAAATTTGTTTTATTTTATATGGTTATTAATACTCAGTTTAACATTTATGTAACAATAATATATTACGTCATTTTATAAATTATTATTGTATTCAAATATCTATAAATAAAACATTATTTAGTATAAATATTAAATAATTATTGTATAAATACTTTTTATAATAAAAAATATACTGTTTTGTAACTCTACTCCTTTTTATATCGCACGGGAGGCAATTAAACAAACACTTATGGGTTCATCTTAAATGTTTGTTGACGAATTCAGGAGTCCTTCATTCATAGACGCAACTAGATTAACATTTATAGAAGTACTTAAAAAATATGATTCATAGATACACATGAGCTTTGCCCCCACACTCCCCACGTAAGTATCGCTGACATAAGTATGTTCAATGAAACAAAAATTACAATTATTATTAAAATGCAAAGCAATCATTATCGTCATTTACATATGTATAGAAATACATTTAAATGTCTATGAATATTCAACAAAATAAAAATTTTTTTTTTTATATTATTCTAAAATTATAATATTGACAATAAAATTAAAAATATTACAACATAAATTATACAAACAATCGTTCGACCAAACCAAGAAATGTGTTTTATAATTATTTTGGAGTGCTAAAATTCCCTTGCACTTTCCTAGTTATGCCTATGTTTCACAGATATTCTTGATACTAAGAAATAGTTAATTCAATTAGAAATTATTTGTTATGAATAAACATTTTGAATCATTTAGAGTTTATTATTTTTTTTTAATAATTGTATATGTAACATTACAAAATTAAAATTAAATACCACAATATTTTTTAAGTATTTTTATTTAACAAATATAATATTAGAATAAACATTTATATTTTTTAAGTATTTTTATTTAACAAATATAATACTAGAATAAACATTTATATTGTTAAATTTTTATTTTTTATTATAATTTATTGTATAGAGTGTTTAGTAAGTAAGGAAACGGGGTTCTATTGTTCTCATTTTTGTAACAATTGACTTATTTCCTTACTTACCGAACACTCTGTATATTATTAATTTATATCTATTGTAATAATATACTTTTTTTTTAAAAAGTTTCTTGTTTTTTTTTCTTTTTGTATTCTTATACTATAAAAAACCAAATGAACAAAAACTATGACTTTTATTCGTATAAATTTATCGATTAGGATAAAAATATCGATTATATCAATTAAATTAATTATCGTGAAGGGTTGTATCATCCACGTGAAAATAGTTTTTACAACAAGCAATTAAATATTTACATGTTCATTAATTATACTTAGGATTATTGCTAAATAAGTTAAATTTTGGTTCTTGGATACGAAGCCTCCGTGGCGCAATTGGCTAGCGCGTTCGGCTGTTAACCGAAAGGTTGGTGGTTCGAGCCCACCCGGGGGCGTAAACTTTTTGCAATTTTAACTCGATCTTCTTCTTATATATCAGAAAGCAATGGTTTTCCAATATGGAATATTATGATTTTTAATTACTAACCTATTTACATTGCAATTTTTATAAATGAATTCTATGAAATTTAGTCAAATTTTTTAGTGATAAAAAAAGTTTCTTAAGATAACCATTTCAACACAATATTTTCCTTAGTGCATAGATACTTCTAGAGAATAAATCATTGTTTTGAATTGTTAGAACTTATATAACAAAACCTCATTAAGTTACAATTCATAATAAATTTTCTTCATTTATATTTATATGCGCGATAAACTAAAAAAGTAAAAATACCAATCTTTCATTTATAGGGGTTAGACTCGTACGTGAGGATAAATGTGTAATATAATGCCCATTTGTAAACATTAACATGTTGATAACATGATATTTTCAAATAACTTAAATCATTATATAATAAAATGTGAATAGAGTAAATATTTTTTTGTTTAAATAATAATGCATTAATTGTTATATAATTATATTATATATACATTATTAGGAAAAAAAGTAATTTAAATTACTTGTTACTGTAATGACATGACATAATCTAATTAAAGTTACTAATGCGTTACTGGAATGTAACAATACCTTCAAAGAAAAAAAAATAATTAAAAAATAATAATTCATGCTTATAATACCCATTATAGTACATAAACTGTTCTAATTCATTATTTTAATCATACACATTTTTATACCTAAGAGATGACCTAAAACACGGACCGTCCGCTACTGACGAGACCAAATAATTACGGGAGCCGCATACTATATACAGAGTGGCCCACCACTAACTGACAACTTAAATAACTTTTGATCCAGTTAATATTTTTAGCTGATTTTTTTTTTAAATAATAGTTATACGTTAGGTCTATAGCTATATCTCAATAATTAATTTTTTTACATTTTATTAAAAATATTAATTATTTTTAAATTTTAAATAAAATGTAAAAAAAAAAATCTAAAATAGCTATTTTGTAGAGTAGAATTTAAGAAAAATTTTAGTAAAAAAATATCTTATTAATATTCAGTAGTAAATATTCTGTAGCGTTTTGAAGTTTGTGAAAATTTGAATTTTCATGTACTATTTTACGGTATTAAACATTGAAATACGTATTGAGAAAAGGACAGAAGAAAACGCTATCTTTTCATGATTACTGTGTATACATATGATGATAGTGTGTATACATTACAAACTTGGCATAAATACCATGATAAGAAATTAGATAAGGCAATTATTACTTATCACTCTCATTCAAAAGTATATTGAAAAGATAGCGTTTTCTTCTGTCCTTTTCTCAATACGTATTTCAATGTTTAATACCGTAAAATAGTACATGAAAATTCAAATTTTCACAAACTTCAAAACGCTACAGAATATTTACTACTGAATATTAATAAGATATTTTTTTACTAAAATTTTTCTTAAATTCTACTCTACAAAATAGCTATCTTAGATTTTTTTTTTACTTATTATTTAAAATTTAAAAATAATTAATATTTTTAATAAAATGTAAAAAAATTAATTATTGAGATATAGCTATAGACCTAACGTATAACTATTATTTAAAAAAAAAATCAGCTAAAAATATTAACTGGATCAAAAGTTATTTAAGTTGTCAGTTAGTGGTGGGCCAACCTGTGTATAGTAACTTCCAACGTATATAATATTGCCTATCTGTTACGCCTTGTCGTCCGACTTGCACTAAATTCCAATTTGGAACTACCGGTATAAAGTTAAGATGTCTGAGCACCGACCGCTTTTTAGTCAAAAACAATCCGTTTTTGATCCATCAGTACGACGAAACTATTGATGCGATAAGAATTCTGAAGACATATCTGAATTCAGCATCATGTCACTTAGGTATCGGTCAGGCCATATTTTTGAAATTTTGATGATTTTAATCCTTTAGTACAGTTTACAATTTCGAAAAATTTTAAAATTTTCAAAATAAATTTTTACGTTGAAGGAATCACATTTTCAAAAAAGTGCCCTGACCGATACCTAAGTGACATGATACTGAATTCAAATTTGTTTTCAGAATTCTTATCGCATCAGTAGTTTTGTCGTACTGATGGAACAAAAACGGGTTGTTTTGTACGCTCCAACTAATGGTTTTCAAACAGTAGCTGATATATGTGACATGCTCGTGCGCGTATGTGCGTTATCCGCAACAGCTATTTTATTGCTCATAGAGTTGCATAGGATAATACCGACTGCCTAAAAATAGTTACAAATGCATACTTGATATTATACTTGTGTACAGAGACGTATTTAGAAATTTGGCGTCCAGGTGCTAATTTTTTTTCCGCCCCCCACACAAATTTTTTTTGACTTTTTTCCCCTAACAAGCGTATACTTAACATACTACAGGACATTTAAATAACAATTACACATAAAAGGACTTGCTTCCACTAGAAGTTAAACAAAAGTTAGTAAAAAAAGAAAGCAGAGTTTAAA